ATATCTTTACACGCGAGTTACACCATTCATGTTACTGGGACAAAAAAAGTCATTGTACACCGTACTGTTCACGCGAATTTTTTTTAAATTGCCCAAAACTACGCCGTTTTGGGAGTGGGAGTATGATGCTCATGGTGGGACGGTCGTATGGTATACGAACTGAGCGGAAGCAACCCAGCTGTGGAAGAGAGAGTAGTTAGTGGGCCTAGAATATAAAAAAACAGTTTTTCCCTTTAAAGTATTATAACTTTTTCATTTTTGTTCCATTTTTTATAAAACATATATCAAAATTCATAGTTTTTTATGATCTTTCATATGACACCAATATTGCATATGTAAAAAATTTTAAAAAATTAAGCTTATCTAACAACCTGATGTTGTAGGAAAAACACTTGAACAAAATACTCTCTCCGTATTTAAGGGGATAGTAATGATAATTGAATAGTGTAGAAAAATTAGGAGAGAAAATGAAAAAGTAGGAAAAATAAGATAAAAATAAGAAAAGTAAGGGTAGTTGAGTATTTTTATATATAGGAAACACTTACCAAAAGAGAAAAGAGAAAGTGTAGTAAACTTTGGAATACATCCCAAAATATAAAGAGCCCTTTGTTAACAAGAATATCGGCTGATTTGATTGATTCTGCTGAAATTTATGAAGTTCTGGCAGAAGAGGCTGCATTGAATTGGCTGATTCTGTTGATTTAAAAAATTTATTTTTAAAATATATTTTATTACTAAAACAAAGAAAAAATATATGTAAAATAGCTAAAATAGTTGTCTACAGTAACTTCAGCCAATACAGCCAGAAAAGTAACTCTGACCGTACTTTATCTTATTATCACACAATTCAGTGCGCGAAAACAAAAGTCACATGTTTGGTGATAAAATTGGCTGATAAGCTTGATAAGCCGAAAAATAGTGTTACCAAATAGCCTCAAAATATAACAAACTTTTAAATACGGAGGGAGTAGAAACAATAAATAATGGAGAAAATTATAACTAATACTACTAAAATTAATGTGTTCTTCTAGAATATGACTGCTTATGTTTTTTTTATTAGAATGACATCATCCATCTAATAATATTTATTCCTATTTTTTAATAATGATTTTGAACAAAAATATAGAGATATCATTAGAAATCAAAATGTGTTGAATACTCTAATAGGGAGATATTATTAGCATCAAAATTTATGCAAGTTGTATAAAGATAGGAAAAAATTGATACAGCTAAATAGATAGTCACGACTAAAAAAGAATGAGTATTAATTAATACATGCATAGATGAATGCTGATATCACTCCAGTAAGATCCATTAGTAATCGTATCCTAGAAAAACATATTTTTTAGTAATATTTGTGATCATTTTCTCAATTATTTAATGTGTCTCTTTTATTTAAGATTTTTTTAAAAAAAATTACTAAGATTAATATTATAAACAAAAGTGTGACTAATTGAATAGGTGTACACTTTTATAGCGACTTCAATATAAAATTTAAACATAATTATAGTTAACAAATGTTAATAAGTGAATTATCACGCATAATCCTTATTTTGGTCACATATTAGAAATTATTTATTTATTTAATACCCCCGTCCCCTTTTAAATGTCCCGTTTTACCATATTGGGATGTCCCTATTTAATTGTCACATACCTTATTTGGTAAACTTTGTGTGGCTCAAAATCATTCTTACTTTATTCTTACTTTATCAATTAATATCAACCACACAAACTCACTTTTTTTAAAACTCGTGCCACCATCTCCCGTCCCATTTAAAAGGGGACGGAGGGAGTAATAAATAATTCGTATCAAGTTCAGAAAATGTGGTTGTTTTATTTAGCGAATTGGAATGTTGTTTAATAGATCTTATTTTTTTTAAAAAAATTTACATATACAATATTGGTGTCAAATGAAAGATCATAAAAAATTATGAATTTTGATATATATTTTATAAAAAATAGAGCAAAAATGAAGAAGTTATAGCACTTTAAAGAAAATAAATGTTTTTTTATATCCTAGGCCCCACTACTGTTCTCTCTTCGCAGCTTGGTTGCTCCTGCTAAATGTGAGTCGCCAAATGGGATGGCGATTCTCGTTGACTATGATTTGGCATTGGCAGTACTTTGGTATATATTTTTTGCTCAACAATAAATTTGTAAATAATTTTTTAGTCAACATTATTTAGGAAAAAAACTCGTATATACATTGGTATTTAGAAAAATACCCTTTCTTTGCAATGGAGTCCATTTCCTGTGGGAGCGCATGATAGGTCGCCTTAATACCGTTATCATGGGGATGTTTTTGTTGAGAACGTGGATTTTCACCTACTAACGAGGTTCAACATGGTGGGGTTCATGGTGGCATGTAATGGTAGTGAAAACGATATATAGAACGTCCATATACACATTTTTTGTGGATAATCCAAGTGTCGGGGTTTATGCTCCCATAATCCTAAAGTCCATGAACTATCCTCCAAAGTCCCTAGATAATTAAACTCGAATTTGATCAAGTCAGCTCCATTGGTACTGGCTTCAAAGGACGTATCCAACAGAACTTACATTGTTATATCCAGAGTGCTCCTCCCACCACACGAATCCGTTGTCTTCATTACCATCATCTCCCTTCTGAGCCGCTGAGCAACTCCGTGAAGGTAGGAAGAATCATTGAGAGCAAGACCTCCATCATCACCATTGGTGGGAATCGAATCCAAGACTTCTCACAAAGGAGAGACTTGGGAGTGGACGGTCATCCATTGGACTACACCCACCAACCCAATGTCCATATATACATGTATACCACGCCCGAATCAATTAAAAATCATTCTTTTTGTGAAAACTGGAAATCGTTCACTTTTGCAAAAGTTCAAAAGTGTCATATACCATACTTTTAGTGCATTACATTCGGAAAAAAGCGAACAACATACAATTTTCACGTTAAGGTTGGTTTTTATTTGATCCGAAAGCTATATATCTTATCCATGGCCAACGGTTTGATTGAATCTTGAAAGGGATAGGGATCAAGTTGGTATAAGACCGGGGTCCATTTGAGCATGCATGTGGCCATGTGGGGTGGGGTAGGGGGTCTGGGGCAAGGTATACGGTTTAAGAGTTTGTTATTGTAGTTTATAAGTTGGTGGAGCTATTATAGAGGCAAGGTACGTAGGGTAGCTAGATAGGTTGGTCTTGAGAGTTTGTGTCCAAAATCCAAGAGCTGCGCTTTACAAAATTAATACAATTAATGAAGTGACCTACATGCATCTTAATTGGCTCCATCAAATAGGTAGCTAGCTAGGCATGCAAGTTGGGAAGACTTCAAATTTGAGGGTCCATTTTAACATGTTATGGAAGTAAAAGTTATTACTAGTAGGATATATGGGTGAAAGGATGCATGGGAGATCAGAGCCCAGGTTTATTATGTACGAGATTAATCCAATAGTAGTAGTGAAAAGAAGTGTGCTAAAATACGTAGTACATGTTAGTCGCCTAGTCGGTGTAGAAACTTATTAACATCTAATTGGTATTAATGTTTAATTTTCTTTGTTAACATAGTAATACTTTCAAGCCTCATCTTAAAAGTTCAATCACTCAATCTAGTATGAGGATTAGTTCAAAAGTTTTACACCTTGATTTGTATCTTCATACTCGATAAAGATGGCTTAACCATAAACCATGTGTCCATGTGAGCATGAAAAGTGAGTTATCATTCATATAAGTGTGGAAGTAAAAAGTGTGTAGAGAACTTATTCATTGACTTTGAATTTGGCTAAAAGACATGAAAGTGGATGCCATGGATGTGGACGGAATGGATTTAAATCATACTTCGTATGTGATAAAATATTAAAATGGAGGTCATATAACATTCGTGTATGCATCCTTTTAACCTTTGTCTAGATTATTATCAGGATCACATTAATTACAAACTTTAATTCTTAATTTTCGAGAGACTCTCACAGTCTATCTCACTTATGCTAAAGAAATGCACTTCAAATTATTTCTACCATTCACAGCGTAATGGACATTTCGAGTTATGATGATGTTAAAGAAGTGGCTAATTTTTCTAGCGTTTCTTTCTCGCATACCAAACGGTATGCAAACCGTATCGCCCATGAGCTAGCTAGCTCGGGTGCGCTTGTTAACTTTCTTTCCCTCTTCTAATTTTATTGTTGATGTTTTGAATCGTGATTTCATTAGTACGCACAAAGTATTATTTAAGGTCATTTTGTCCACAAATTAAGAAAAAAAATAGAACCATGCTAGCTATTTGTACGCGAAATTTGTACACATTTTGTGTACGCAACTCCTAGTTACTTGTATACACAGACATCTTCTCAACGAGCTCTTTATGTATACAAGCAACTGAAGCAAGTAGAAAATGCCTAAGACAAAAATGTGTACAAATTTCTCAAGACATCAAAACTTTTCTAGACTTCGTATCAAATCGGATGAAATAAGCAACCATGCAAGTTGGTGTAAAACAGTAGCGTTCAGACGCATTAACTGCATCTTGTATTTACGTCACGTGGACTTGTTTCATTAAAGGTTGGTTTGCAACAACTTTAAAAAAAGCACTTCTCAGCTTTTGGCTTAAAAAAGCACTTATTTACCAAACACTACCAATTTTTTATTTTTCTCAGCTTTCGTGTCAAAAGTGCTTTTCCCCTTTTTATACACCAAAAGCACTTATTTTACCAAACACAACCAACTTTTACTTTTCAAAATCACTTTTTTCTCAAACACTATCAACTTTTACAACTAATCACTTTTTCATTTCATCTCCAAAAGTGCTTTTTTTTAAGCAGAAGCTGTTGCAAACACTCCCTAAATAAAGTTTTTTTGGGAACAATTTTCATTGAATAAAATAGTGAGAAATAATAGGGAGAGAGAGGATTATATATCATTAATTTGGACTCCGTAATATTTATTATTTAGTCAATAATAAAGTTCTAGGATCACCTAATTCTTCTGTTTATTACTCTCCTAATCACTGCCTAAAAATTCTATCCCTTAGACAAAAAAGCAAAACCAGACATTTCCTCCAACAAACGCCACCTTCAAATTTCACGACGATTATCATCGGAAAAACTTTTCCGATATTCAACCCTGCCAATTCAGGTAAATCCTTTAATTTCAACCATTTTTTAATCTTTTTTTCATCATCATTACTTAATACCATGTATAGAATTTGTCATTTGTTGTTTATTTATAAGTATGCCCCTCTCTCCTTTAGGGTTATGAAATTAGGAATTGGGTATTCAAAATCGTAGATAATTTGTTCTCGAACATTCAAAATTAAACAAGGATTTGTGATACATTTGGGGGAGTCATTCTCTTTGAAAAAGGTTTAGAGGTTAATTTTTTGAATGACTTGTTTTGCAAGAAAACAACTTTCGTAAATAAAGTTAAAAAATGTCCAGGTTATGTTAAGATTCTTTCCATCAGTTTTATCTTTCTTTTCAATTATGAAAATACAGCCAATTTATAATGATATATTGATATACCAGTAGTTTTTATGTTTATAATTTGACTCCTTGTTGATTAAGGCCTGCATTGTTTTTTATGAAGGATGTCTGAACACCAAGCGATTGACTATGATCATAATGATGATAAAAGGAAGTTGCTTGTGTCACAAATATGCATGGAGGCAGTAAAGAACTTCCCGCCGACCGCAGCCTCAATGCCATCTTCCCCGACGGGCCACCGGAAAACCTGCCTCTGCTCCCCCACCACTCACCCCGGCTCGTTTAGGTGCCGCTACCACAGGAACACCAAGCTCACACGCGCCACCATGTCTGTCGCCTCCAATCTCTCCGAACTAGGAAGTGCTTCTGTCGCCAGCAAGCTCTCTGAGCTGGCCGCACGTAAATAGGGGCCCGTGTATGAGGTGACATGTGGTTTCTAGAGATGAGTCATCATTGTTGGACAAATGATGATGATGATCTTCATCTGTTAAAGAACTGTAAATTTTGAAGAACTTGTGTTTTTATTATGATTGATATATAAACTATTTATCTTCTTGTTCTTTCGTTTATAACTATGTTTATCTTTGTAATAATATATGATGCACAGTTTTGACAGCAAATTTAATGGATATACATACATACAACACTTACTTGCCAGAACCTTTTTGTTTCTATTCACAACTTGCTAGGACATTTCCCACTAGCCAAATATATAGATAGAAATCAACATATAAGATTATTAAGTTGACCTTATGATATAAAATCCCAAAGTCCAACTTAATTCTGTTCACATGAGTAACTTGATCAAACTAAGACCAAAAAAGAGCATATGAATTTCAAGATTGATTTGTTCTAACACACAGCCATCTTGAAGAGGCAATTGTGTCTTACCGCCTCGGAGTTAAACTCACTAATATAACTGTTAATTCATACGTAACCGATGGGGTATAAATTGTTCCCAAAAGAAATGACCATCATTCCACACATGAGCATGGAGATGCTGCTGTAATGCCATGAAAGGAAATGATCATCCACACCAGTGAACATTGAGGTAGGGAAGCTATTGACATTTTCTTAAAATAGGTGAAATAAGGCAGGCCTTATTTGAAAAGCTGGCAATTGGAACTTTGTCTGCAACCCCATTTTGAAAATATAGACATTGAAGAAAGCAAGTAACAATAGCATAAGAATTAAGACTAGTAAAGATTAAAGGGAGAGAAGATTCTGAATTGAAGAAGATTACTATTATATATCTTATAGAAAATGTACAGCAATGCATAACGGTCGCAAGGACCCGTCGCTATGAAGGACGCAACCATTGCCGGATAAAGATAGGTACAACACTACAATTCCTTAACGCAACAGTCAAGCGTCCATATATAAAACTTGATCTGTGATAGGGCAATACACCTAAACCTATACACATGAAGGTGGGTGGACTTGGACAAACCTCTAAGCGCTCACATGGGAGGACAACCATCATCTTCCTCACCTACTTGGGGGGCGATCATGTTATTCCTGCAAAGAGGGCATGTGAGATTCCAATACTTCAACCACTTCTCAAGACACGCCATGTGGAATACGTGCCCGCATGGCAATCGGTTGATCTCAGCCTCGGGTGCAAATTCTGTCAAGCAAACTGAACATTCTTGTTGTTCCGGAAGGTTCTTAGAGGCGGCGCACATCGAGTCATACCGGATTGCAGGAGTTTGGTGCCGAAACTCCTCCATGTAGGACTCCGATGGAGTTCCACGGCATTCAAGTGTATTGTCCATCATTGTTCCGTCGATGGAATACTCTTCCCATGACGAAATCCGGATGCCGATGATACTGAGGAATGAGCGAAACATGTCTTTGACAATTGAGATGGATATGGCAGTGTTGACCAAAATCACACACAAAACTCCAGCATCATTCGGAGAAGAGTAAGGTGAGAGACCCATAATGCACCAAAAACCTGCCAAGGAACAGAAGAAGCTATGAGAATGAACAACATGAAAACAAAATAGTAAGACTTGAGGTTCCATTCGAAGATGACATTATATGAGTAGTTCAAGATTATATTTGTTTTACACACAAAATATTATATTTACAGTTTGCTTATTTTGTATTAATAATTCTAGTGAATGAATATAATCACCACACTAAGAGAGGGAAATCCTTTAGGTCATAATTTTAGTTTTTTTTTTGCATCTTGATTTTCTCTAATATGTATAACAGTGAAAAAAGTTATCTTTAAAGGAAATCTGATAAGAAATCACATATCTCAAAATCTTAGAAATTGCTTGTACAAACTACTATTTGAATCAAATACTATATTCATATTTTGTTTACTTATCTTGTAAAATTAACTTGGTAGATAGATAGGATCAACATCACCAAAGAGGAAAATCAGATGGGTGGCTATTTTAGATTTAATTTTGTTCTTATCTTGATCATCTCTTGTGTATATAAACCATGAAATAAATAAACCTCTTCCAACTCATAATATCTTCATTCTTTGTATTATTATTACACTAAATAAATAAGACCACACCATCTTGTTTGGTTGGGGATTTTGGAGGGGATGGCAATATTGTTTAATTAATTAAACTATTATTTTAGTTTTGTTGGGTGAAACTTAGTAGGGAAGGGGTCCAATAAGAGAATAGGAGATAGTTGTTTCTTGATATATGATAGCAGTATAGCACCATTAGACAAGGACTCCCCAGAAAAAAACCAACCAAACAAGCCTTGTGAGATTGTATTTTACAAAAAAAGCCTACCTTTTTTCAACTGAAACTATGGAAGTGAGATTCCTCAGAAAAAACAGCAGAGCTCAAGACACAGATCTGCAAAAGAAAAACACAGATAATTAAAAAATTATTATATAAATAAAACTGCACAAGATCACATCCGCCTGCATAACTACACTTCTGTGAACAAAGAAGATTATTCTTCTAGTATGAAGATACCCAGAAAACAATCAAAACCCTAAATCCTTCTAATTCTGATTTCAGATCCACCAATTGAAACCCAGGGAGCAATTTTAGCACCCATTCACAATATATCATTCTTTTCAATTAAAGATGTGTTAAAAAGGCTTACTTTATGGAAGGAAAAAAACCCAACTTTTATTTTTCAACAACTATGTAAGAAAAAAGGGGCAAGGAAAGAGACAGAGCCAGCTCTTGTGGGATATGTTGGGAAATAATGATTAAATTGTAACCGGGCTTCAAACTGAGATCTGAAACCAGATTATTGAACCCACTTTACATGTTAGCTCATCCAGAAACGGATTACCCACTTTATCTTCACTTTATTCCACACACAATCCACATATAAAAAGCAAAACTTTTCGTGAACTACAAAAGAAAAGGGAAAAAGGAATAAAGAAAGGCAGAATAGAAGCAAGAGGTGGTAGACTGGTAGTACCTGCACGGGTGTTGGAGATGGAGGAGAAGGAGAAGTCTATCCCTTCTGCAAATTGCAAGGACTGTTACTATTCTGGGAAGAAGATGAAGTTGGAGAGTTGGGGAGATTTCAGAGGATCCCAAACTTAAAGAGGCAGGGAGGTGGTGAATTATCTATATTAAGAAATGGATGATGCGAAGCTTTGCCATAACCTTGTATGTGTAATAAAGACCGCCCCTTCCCCCATTTATTGTTATTATTACTATTATTATTATTATTAGGAAAAATTGATTGTAATAATCTCAACTATTGGCAGTCCGCTTATAATAATTTCAATTATTGGCGGTCCGCTTATAAAAATTGATTGTAATAATCTCAACTATTGGCGGTCCGCTTGTAATAATTTCAATTTTTCCTTATTATTATTATTATTTTTACATTTTAATACTCCGTAATATTCAGACGCTCTTGGCCCCGCCACAAATTTTGTCCCTTCCCCAACCTCACTAGCTGCACGTTCAATGTCCAATTGTAGCTTATGGGAGTATTATTTCTACTTTAATTTTTTCTTAATTTTTTTTAAAAAATATCATACTCCCTAGTCCCTAAGAGGAAATAGTAGAGGTTTTTTTTTAAATCCTTGTCATTAACACAAATAAATGAGGCAAAAAGCATATGGTTAATTAGGGGTGGTTATAACGGTTTGGTTTAACCGAACCGTATCAAACCGAATGAAATTGAACCGAAATCGTACCGTATGCAATTTAATTTGAGTTTAATACTATTTCTTTCCAACCGTATTAAACTAAACCGAACCGAAACCGATAAAAACCGAACAAAACTGAACCGAACTATAGAATTTCAAAAAAAACTTCATGTATTACGGAGTATAAAAAAATAGCAAATCCAAACCGAACCAAACCGAACTAAACTGAACCAAACCAAAAAATAGTATGCTTTTTGTTTGGTAATAATTCTTCCAACCCGTTTCAAACCAGACTGAACTGAAACCAATAAAAACCGAATCGAAAACCGATATGTCCAGCCCTACTGTTAATTCATGAGCCGAGTTAATCATGTAGAGTTGGGTTTAGAGTCCGTTGGTACTCTATTTTTCGGCTTATCAATTCTATCCTCGCTAATTATGTAACTTTTAATTTTGCGCGGGAAATGTTTAATAATAAAAAAATAAATAAGGCTTAAGTTATTTTTTCTTGAAATTATTATTGGAGACTGTTTTAATTACATACGAAGTAGTATTTTTATACTACGTATATTTTTTCATAAAAACCAGAAACAGACAATTTCATCACTTCAATCAAAGTTATGAAAATTTGAGCACAAATAATCAATTCAACTGATTTCAAGAGACTCTCAATATAATTGGCATCTCCCACATACGAAGTACTACGGTATTAAAGTATATACTACGTACCAAGTCGTGCATTTTCATTTCTTAAATCACAAGATAAAATACGGATATGTTGGGATTTGGGACGGTCATTTTAAAATTAAAAATAAAGCTGGAACCCCACCTTCACTGTCCTCGTGGCTTTTGAGGAATCTGACGAGTTAAGCGAGAAATTGGAGTATTATTTCTATGTTGAGGCCTACGCGTCCAAACCGTAGACGTAGAAATTATTTTGGCTAAAGGGTCAAATAGGTTGTTCAATTAGTCCCTTATATAGGAGGTTCTACCCGGTCGTCGTCAATTGAAGCGGTTCCTAGTGGAATTTTTTGATAAAATTTTTTGACCATCTTCTTCATTAAGTCTAGTTTACCCATACAAAATCTCAGCTAAAAATTCAACCGGGAAGGCAGTCAAATGATTTTTTGAAGATAACTGCGCAATTAAACAACGCAACACATTTCGGAATATCATTTGACTGCCTTATCGGTTGAAATTTAGCTGAAATTTGGTATGGGTAAACTAGACTTAATGAAGAAGATGCTCAAAAAATTTCATCAAATAATTCCACCGTGAACCGCCCCGATTGGCGACGGCCGGGCAGAACCTCCTATATAAGGGGCTAATTGAACACTTTAAGTTAGTTCATGTACCTATTTGACCCTTTAACCAATTATTTTCTTGATCTTGTCTAAGAGTCTGTTTGGTAGCACGAAAATCGGTTAATTTGGTTGATTCTGTTGAAATTTATGAAGGTCTGGTTGAAGTGGCAACATTGGCCGCTTCTGCTGATATAAGAAAAAACTATTTTTAAAATATATTTTATTAATAAAATAAAGAAAAAATTATATGTAAAAATAGCTAAAATGGTCATTTACAGTAACTTCAGCCAAAAAAGCGAGAAATATAATTTCAAGATGTTTTTAATATCGAAAGCAAATTTACGTGTGTGGTGAAAAAGTTGGCTGATAAGCCTGATAAGCCGAAAAACAGTGGTTCCAAACGGTCTCTAAATATTTCTGATTTGAATTTTTTAAGTGGTTAATTGATGAATTTTTTCTTTGATGGAAGGGGTGTTTCTTCAACAAATAGGAGGGAGACAAATAAGGAAAAGAATTGAAGGTCTACACACATGGGTAATGTAGGGAAATAAGAATGTTATTAAAAGCCAATCCTAAAAGGAGTAAAAGCTAAGATTAATGACATTTCACCTTATGGCCGTTTAGAAAAAGTCATTTAACCAAATATTTTTATTGGCCGTTTGATCCGATCAAAAGGCCAGAAATAGTCAAATCAAGCAAAGATAGGCTTATAGCCTTCTAACCAAACACCCCTTCTATATATAATATGACACAAAGGCTCGCAAGTCACAAGTCTAAAATAAATAAGTTTGAATAAATCTTGTTAACTATTTGAGTCGAGCCGAACTCAAGTTGAACGGAACTCGAGTTGAGCTTAATATGAGTATATGAGTGAACTCGAGTCGAGTTTTTTTCGAACGCTCCACGAGCAGCTCGAAAGCGGCTAGGGAGTTAATCAGGGTTGGTTCCGAAAATCGAAAACCAAGAAACGATTCAAAATAAACTGAATGACAACCAAATAAAATTGATCCGCTAAAAAATCGAAATCAGATGTAAAAAAAACGAACCGAACCATAGTTGTTTGGTTCGGTTTTGATTTTTATCCTTTAAAACCAAGTCGAAAGGAATAAAATGAACTAATTAAAATGTGAAATTTTAAATGTTAATTGTTAACACTAATTTTATCTGTTAATTGTTAAGCCTATGTTTGTGACTTTGTGCCTTTGTCGCTCCACTGAGTTGACTCCTCCTGCCTTCCGCTTCGTGCTTCTCAGTTCGCAAATAGCGAGTTTGCAAGTTGAATAAGGGAGTGTTTGCATTTGATTAAAAATAGTGCTTTTCAGCTTTTGGCTTAAAAAAAGTTAAAAAGAGTGTTTTCAAATGACAGCTTCTGCTTAAATTAATCACTTAAAAGCTAAAAGTTAAAAACTGCTTCTCACTTTTTCTATTACACAAAAAGTACTTCTTTTACCAAACACTACCAACTTTTACTTTTTCAGAATCACTTTTTCTTCAAACACTACCAACTTTTACTATTAATCACTTTTCCCAAAATCACTTTAAAAAATCACTTCCTTAAAGTTGAAGCAATTGCAAACACTCCCTAAGTCAGGAACGTACAAATACTTTAGTAACCTAGTAGGCTTGGGCTGGTTTGGATATTGATTTTGGTGTGTGTTGGGCATCAAACGTACAAACCCCTATACTAATAAGAAAATTGGTCTAGGCTGGGCTGCAGCCCACCCGGCTCCTACATAGATCCGCCCATGTAGAGGGAATATTATACACTCGCTTTTTTATGGTGACAAGTTTTTGAGCCAGTTTATACGCGCTTTTAAACGTGTATCTGGCTAAGCACATTAACTCATACTTACTTTTAAATTACATTGAGCCCAATTAACGGAATTATATATCAAGTGCATGTTTGGTAGGGTTAAGTTTCATCCTAAAAGGTTAAACTTATAGGAGGAGAAGCTCAGATCTTAATATAGTGTTTTTATTCTTTCACAGATATCCGTTGTAGGACTTTAACACTCCTCCTCATGACCAGACACTTCGTTTGGATCGTGTCGTCATTCATTTTTCATCGGTTCATTATTTTTTTTATAATGCCATCATTTTTCATGGGGGTCCCACACCATAGATCGATTTGGCTCTGGTATCATGCTAAGATCCAGGGTTCCATCGATTTGGCTCTGATACCATAAGGTCAACCTCATGGTATCATGCTCAGATTTTAATATAGTGTTTAATTCTTTAAGGGATATCCGGTGTGGGACTTTAGCGGGTAGGTAATAAGTTCATACCTTCTAACATTTGTACTATTTTTAAGAACTTTTTAAAGAATAAAAGAGTTCCAACAACATTTGAGAAGAGTGTATTCTTTAGCATTAATTAATTCCAACAGCTTGTATGTCAAACTGAACTAAATCAAATAATTAATAAGTTTTTTTTCAAATAATTATCTCCTTTTCCATTTAAGATCTTTTCAATTAGTACTTTTTCACTTTCACAAATCAGTTTTCCGAAGTAGATTAAAACACCCCTTCGTAGAGGTTCATAATTTATTTATGAATATGCAATTTTTTGACGTGGATCAGGGAAATGAAGTTGGGGGGAGCCGGGATAAACAGGCTCCATGGAATTTTGAATCTGAGACTTCTCGTATGAGGGAGTGAATTGGCGGCTACTCATTTATCAAGTAAACTAGTCAACTACTACCTCAGCCCCTTAAAACTTTGTCAAGTTTGACCGGCACAGAGAATAATAAAGTAAAAATTGTGTGGTTGAAGGTTGTGCAGATGAGAAATAAATAACAAGAACCACAAAATAATTGATTAAAAAGGAAAGTGACAAAGTTTTTTGGGACGTCCCATAAAGGAAAGATGACAAAATTTTAAGGACTATTATACTCATTTATATCACTACCAAGTGGTTTCTAGTTCAGCAGACAACAACTTTAACTAAGTAACTAACTATTTGATTTAGGGGTAGACGCGGTCTAGAATGGTCTTGGTAAATTAGCAAAATCCGCAATGTATGCGTGAAGTTGCTAACTGTTCGGTTACGTTCTAAGGGTGGAACCATTCATACCATGTCATTACGAAACGGTATGGTACAATATCAAACTAATGCTAATTGTTTTTTTAAAAAAAAACTTGCAATTAGTAAATACGCCATACCGATAAGTTCACTACATGAAATGTTGATAATATAAAAAGAGATATCATAATAAATGTCAAGAAAGATTCAAGAGACTTACATTTTTGTTTTAAGTTTGCAAATACTCAAATAGTGCAACACACTTAATGAAATATATAACAAAATGATGATGCATTGGATATACATCATCTTCATTAAATTCACGTATAAAAAAAAGAATATCATCAAATTTTTAAATATTATATGAAATCTCATCATCATCCTTCTTTACTCTATATTGAATATTACTTCTAATTCATAGTTGTATCGTGGAAGATAATATTTAAATCATATTAATTTAGTTGCAAAACTACACAAATATGATACAACAAATAGTCATATGCGTTACATTACTGGGTGTTAGTAATCATTAATTATTTTTAAAAGTTTAGCATTCTTTAAATCTATATAAAAATATATCATAAATTATCTAAAAGAAAAGAGTAACATAATTTATACACACACATTTAGCTATTTTAATGACAAATGAAATCATTCTTGACCTACAAAATTATTGGTCTAAACAAGATACTCCATCTGTTTCCAAAAGAAAGTCACAGTTTGACTTCACAATTATTAAGTAAATAAAGTGACTTTACTGTAGAGTAAACTGTTTGACATTGTTTGACACTGTTTGGACACTATTTGGTCACTATTTGGCACTGTTTGACACTGTTTGGTCACTGTTTAGCACTGTTTGACATTGTTTTGATGTAAATTTATTTGCCAAATAAGAAAATAAGGGAAATATGACTTTGTTTTTGATAGGGGTGGGCATAACGGTTTGGTTTAACCGAACCGAACCGTACCAAACCGGACCGAAACAGGACCGTATGCAATTTGGTTTAAGTTTGGTACTATTTTTTCCAAACCGTATTAAGCTGAACCGAACCGAACCAAAACCGATTAAAACCAAATAAAACCGAACTGAACTAAAGAAACTCAAAAAAACTTTCATATATTATTAAAATTGGTGGTTTGATTTGGTTTGGTTTGGGTTTACTTAAGTAAATCGTTCGGTAAACATTTGCTCAAACCGAATGGTTTGATACCTTAATTTGGTTTGGTTTGGTTTAAAACGGAAAAACTGTAAACCGAACAGAACACCGAACAACACACACACACACACTTTGTATTTATTTTCACTCTTCATTTTTAAGATATAAATAAATAATTTAGACATAAAAATACATATTTAAGCATATACTCATATCATTTTAACTTTTACACATTTCATACATTCATTATGACAAACTTAGCTAATACGACATATTTGTATTTATTATGTTTGGCGATAACAATAACAAATTGCATTTATATTTTTACATGATTCATTTCAATAAAATTGTGAATATTACAACATTTGTACCACTGACTCTTTTAGTTTTTTTTTGAATATTTTATGTGATATTATAAATGCTAATCAACTATCTTATTTTTTTGTAAGAAGTGAATTTTCGTAGTGATAAAAAGATGTTAGAAGTTTTAATTTATAATATTTTATTATTTATTTTTCTATCTTTTATTTCCTTTTACATTTTATTTAAATAATGAATAAATTAAAAAAAGATGAGATGAACTACTACTTTCATTTTCTAATTCTAAAATATATAACTTGATCAAATAAAATATTAAGCATAAGCAAACAAATCAAATCAAACTAAATTAAACATAATGTTTTTTACTTTGGTAAACCGATCTTCAAACCGATCTGAAACCGAATCGAAATACAAATGGTTTTACTTTGGTACAGATTCTCTCAACCCGAATAAACCGAAACTGAAGAAAACCGAACCGTAAACCGAATTGCCCACCCCTAGTTTTTGAAATATTAAAAAAAAAAAAGAAAATGTGACTTTGATTGCGAAACGGATGGAGTATTTATTAGGATGAAAAAATATAAAGCACTCATATGTATTCATTTTGAATGGTTCAGTCCGATATTTTGTGGGCCGGTCCAAGGGGGTGAACCAGCCCCATTGCACAAGGCCTCAAAAAAGAAGGCCACAAACAAAATGTAGTTATCGACTTATAGTATTATGGAGTAGTCCAAGTCCAAAATAGAGTAGAGAAAGCCAGAGAGCTCTGTGATTCAACAAAAAGAACGATTGAACGAAGCCCTGCGTCGAGGGCAGTCACCCAATCCGCAGCAGTCCACCCAGGGCCAAGGCGACCTCCGCGGCTCCGTCCTCCGTGACCTCCTTATAGGGCTCCAGGTCTGCCACTGCAGCGCGCCAGTAGTCCAGCCTTGTTAAGCCGTTCATCACTTCAGCACCGCTGCACCGCACGCGGTCTACTCGCCACAGCAGGTAAGCTTATCTATTTGTCTGTTTTAACTTTTAAATTATACTTAGCTACTATAATAAGCATTATAAGCATTAGTGCATCACACGTAGTGCATTTGTGGGTGTCTCGCTTTGGTAGATTTTTTTTTGTTAGAGCTATTTGATTTTAAGCTATGAATGAGTTGTTTGGAGTATTGAAGGATGTTATGTTATTTGGATCATGTCACATTATTTTTAACTCAAAGTCGTTTGTATACTTTTTGTTAATTTGGATTTTGGAGAGATTTGTTTGTTGATGTTTTTAGCTTTTATTATGCTATCATTTGTTATTATTACCACTAATTTGTTTTTTTATATGCTATTTTTAGTTAAGATAATTCATTGTTACCACTATTTTGTTTGTTTGTATAAAAAAGAATCAAAAGACCCGAATAGGAAACAAGAATCAAAAGACCCGAATTGACCCGAATTGGTCCTATCCGTTTCAAACAAGGCAAGTTAGGTGAGGTTCCTATTATATTATAGTAATGGATGTATCTGGATCGGCCCAGCCCGTTCAAAGGAACTATAGATTCCTAAAAAAAGTGAGTGAATTTGAATTGATATGGATTGGGTCCACTACTAACTTACATGTCGTAAATAAATGTAACTAGGTCTGTGTCTATAGGATTGAGTTTTCTGTCCAAAATAGACCACTAATCTTATACTCTCATTCCCTTAAAACTTGATCAAGTTTAACCGGAACGAGAACTAATAAAGTAAAAATTACGTGGTTGAGATTTGTGCAGAGGAGAAAGATTTAACTGGAACCATAAATTCTCTACTTATTTACTTAAAAGGAAAGTGACAAAGTTAATGAGCCAATCAAAGAAGGAAAGTTTAAGAGGAGAGAGTACTATGTACCATTCATTTTTTTTTTGTTCTGAGGAGCCGGATCCATCTATGTTCATGCTTGGGAGGCAAAGCCCATCCCTTCTAGCTTTTGTACTATTTAAAAAGTCTTTAAAAGCTTCTACTTGTATGTTTGACATGTCAATTTTCAAAAACTTTTTAAAGAATAAAAAATGTTTTGTGAGATTCTACAGTGAGTAGCATATGAGAAAAGTCTTTAGTTTTAGTATTAATTAATCTCAACTGCTTGTATATCAAAACCGAAGTAAATCAAATAGTCAACTTTTTATCAAAAAACTATTACCTTTTTCTGTTAAAATCTTTTTAGTCACCAAAAGCTATGAGTTACTAAAAAATCATAAAAGTATATTTTCGTGGTGCCAACCTACCTATATATTCTCACATTTTTGCTTTCTGCTCCTTCTCTTCCCTTCCGTCTCCCCCCAGATTAGTTCCAGGTTTCAATCTGTGCTAGCTAGCTCCACCACCGTTCTATGCCACTCAAACTTTGATTGTGTTGCGTACGTGTCTAACTCAGAGAAGGTAAAAGTAGTGGTATTTACCTATTTTTCGTGTATAACCTCTTTTCCATCCCTTTTCTTGGCTCCTAATTTAGGGTTTATAATTAAAATCGTAGTGGATTTTTGACTTGTTAGGATTCACTCCCCATGTTTTCTATGAACAAATGTAGCATTTTTATGTGCTATACACGCTGTGCGTGTGCAACGTTTATACTTCTTTTAAGTGTTTTGTGCTTTTATGTGGTTTGGTAAGACCTTTAATTCTCTAAATTCCAAGGGTTCTTTGGTGATGCTAATTTGACAAAACCTTGCTACTATTTATGGGGAAATTCAGTGTGTTTGTGCCTTTGCATTTATGGTGATATGGTATAATAGCTCATCTCATGGCTCAAGAAGTAGCTGCATGATATCACACATAATGGGATTTTGTTATACATTATTATTCTTATTTGTTGTGGATTTTTTTCTTTAGGATAAGGTGTATATTATCCTGTGAGAATGTTTGTGCTGGAACAGAGTAGGAAATTTCTTTTGATTTTATATATTAATAGATGCTTAGGGTTTTGCACTAGAATGCTGAAAAGTACAACAAACTTAAAAAATGGGATAGACACTCAAGCAATCAGCATAAGTATTTCTTTGCCAGAGAGCATACCCTTATTTATGTTACTATTTTCCTGTTAGTTTTTGTGCGAAATGTGGCAAATTAACTGTATTTTTATTATTATATTATGTACAGATACAAGGGAACATTGAAATTAGCCCGACTTTTTAATCGGAAACTTGCTAGACCAACATATTTGTTTTCTTGAAGAATTCGGGACAATGACAGAATTACAGAAGGGGACAAACAAACGAAATATTGGGAGCAAGAAAAAAAGTGGAAAAACGAGGAAGAAGCAGAAGGTGATGCCATTTAATGAGAAAAAAACTAAGATAGGCAATAAAATGAAGAAGCTATTTGAAAAAAGGGCAAGAGAGTACAATTCGGATGAGGATGATGATAAGAATGATGAAGATGAAGATCCCACTCAGGTGGCGGGAGACACGTCATTACATGGTGATAACGATGAATTTGACGACAACTCTTTTGATGACAAGGAAGGAGATGGCAGGGAAGAAAATGGTGAATCAGAAGACGAAGGTGGGGAAATTCAGCCAGGAATTACCAAGTTCATGGAGGGATGTAAGGCATTCAAAATGGCCTTCAAGAAAATACTAAAAAACACTGCTTCTGATGATATATTGGTCGGTAGCCACCTCACACTTTAGTTATTTCTTATTTCAGCTGCGCTTAAACCTCTTAGTCCCTTGCTAATCCCAGTGTAACCTAAATAGCCTTTATTACTCAGTCTACCCCATAATCCTTGCTAAAGTGTTCTTGTTGATGCTGTGAGGTTATATAGTTATCATATATGTAATCCTACACCAGTTATCCAACCTTTGTACTATATTGCTATGAAAACAAGTACTCCCTTACTCCCAAATTAATACAAGTAGTTGTTTAGCCAAAAAAATCCCAAAACAATTATTGTTTTTAGAATTCAATGCATATTTACCAATCATCCCTTTTTTGTCCATGTTAGCTCTTCAAAAATAAATTCCCTTTATACCTTAAAACAAAAAAAATGATTAAATAAATTCCCTTTATTCCCTTCATCAAGGGAATAAGCAATAGCTGAGAGCAGTGTACCTCATAGAGTTTTAAAGCCTAAAGTTAATAGTCAGTAGTCTTCTTCATGTGGATTTGGTGCTTTATATATATGCACGAGTGATATTTGTGTTTGTAATACTAACAGTACAAAAGTTGACATTGTTTATGATAATAATGAGTGAAAGTCCTTTTGCAGGGTCCGGTGTTATCAGCACATAAGAAGCTTGTAGCAGAGAAGCTTGCTGAAGAAGAAACAGAAAGGAAAGTGAAGGGTGATGCAAAGAAGGAGAAACACTTGGTATATATACTTTTATTATATATAACATTTTTACATGCTTAATTAATATTGTGTTCTATTCTCATCCATCCTGACCTGTTTACAAGATCGGAGAAAAGAATCACGTCAAACCTGCTAACTACTTGGATATTCATGAAAAGTTTCTGATAGGAATTGCTACGAAAGGAGGTACCATATTAAGCTTCTAATGAATCAAATATCAAATGACATTTGCTCCATTTATTAGGACATGAAACTAACTTCCTTATATATCCCCTTTCTGTGTTGCTGAAATCCCAGTGGTCAAGTTGTTCAATGCTGTAAGTCGTTTCTCAAAGTTCTATCTTTAAATAGCCACTTTATGATCAACATGTTTCCATTGGGTGTGACTTTTTGAATTTATATAGTTAATTGTTTCTTTTCTGTTCCAGGTTAACAAGGCTCAACATGCTCAAAGAGGCTTAAATCCATCAAGGTCAAAAGATGAAAAAAGTAAGTGAAATTAACGAATGTTACTGCGATTCCTCATCCAAACATCTATCCTTTTTGCTTTTGTTCTTGGAACAGTTAGTATGTTTTTCTTGTGGTTCTCCACTCAATAATCAAATTAAAGGCCATTCAAATTGGATATGTAAAAAATAGCTACTCCCTCTGTTCTAAATTCTTCTTTAGTTTGATTTTCACTTCCTTGCTAAGAAGTGAAATTGTGGCACTGGGGTAATGATGATGAATGATGGATGAATGGATGATTAAGAAAGTGAAATTGTATGGTTGTCCTTGAAGTAAAAATCAGAGTAGAGTAGCAATATCAACCACACAAATCTTGGCTTATGGAAATATAATGCAAATTTCGGGACATTGCAAAAAAGTAAGAAGAAAAATATGGACTGAAGGGAGTATTAGTGAGTCATATATAAACATGGTGCATGAGTTGATGTGCATAAAACTCTGATTTATTCTTCTTTAAATGCTTTTATTATTGTTGGATCACATTTTGGTTCGTAATACTTTTTAATGGTCTGATCTGTTAGTAATAAAGAAGCGAAAGAAAGATGCTTTTTTGTCTGAGTTAGGGAAGACCTCATTGCAGTCTCCAGCTAGTGTTTTTCAAAAGGTACTCCCTCGTGTGTTCTCTCACCTATTTGCATGTTCAAGAATCACCACTACTTTTTAACTCTTCCTTTCCAAAACATGCTTGAATTTTTCATATTGCCATTTCTCATTCAATTGCTATTCAGTTGATGAATATTCTTATTTGCATGGATGCAGGGTGAAACTTCTTCTGTTGGGTCAAAAGGTAAAGATGGCCCTGCTTGGGCTCCATTGAGGGACAATTACATGATAACCACGAATCCGAAGTTGAAAGACTGGGATAAAAAGCAGGTGTGAAATATTCATTCATCATAATAGTTGCAATCTTCTTGATGTTTCTGTCTGGTGCCATAATCTTTGACTTCCTGCATTCAGGATATGGCAACAAGAGATGACTTTGGGATGCATGTAGACTCAGATTCGTCATCGGGTGATGATCTTAATTAGTTTCTTGGATGTTTAGATGCAGCGTTTAAGCTTAGTGACCATCATTTGCTCACTACAGTGAGATTATCACGATGAGAGTTCATTTTTCCCGTTTGGTTGAAAATAGGGTTTAAACCGTGATGGCAGCATGAAATTATATTGTCAAGAACATTGATTATTTTATTGGGCATCAGGCGCTTGCTGTTCCTTTTAATATGAACTCTGTACATTTTTTTTACTCTGAAGTATGATTACATTACATTGATATGTATGCTGAGGTTGTGCTAAAATTACATGAACTTCAGTTTGTGCGATTCAGTTCCACTTATCTCATGCATAATATGAGGTTGTGATGAAGTGGGCTCTCATAAAATCAGTTTTCTGGTTCCAGTCCCTCCAAAATAAAACTATGTTGTTTCCTTTTCTGATTTTTTATAAAACAATGTGAAACAATGAAGGTGGTAGTACAGTACTATGTGGAGTAGGATTAAAACGAGTGTGCACATTTTTCTCTAAAAAACTGTGCACATTTTTCTCTAAAAAACTGTTTGTATTTGTAATCTAAAAAAACAATTTTTGCTCTCATTTTTCTTCTAAAATTGAGTTTGCACCTCTCTTCAGCATATTTTTTGAACTTTACGGTTCAAACACTAATTATTTCCAAAGTTCTCAAAATGTCTATTTAGAAAAAAATTACCTTACCTCCTATAGTCCTATTCACCTCTTTTGGGAATGGAAAATGGATCGGATCCGCCCTTACCGTCCTTACGTATATAAGTGTATAACACTCTAAAATGTATGAAATTTGGTCTAAATTCTAAAATAATCATTCTTAAAGGCCACGACACTTTATTAAAAAGTAACAACTAACAATTGCAACCATTTATTTATTTATTTATTTATTTATTTATTTATTTATTTATTTATTTATTTATTTATTCATTTATTTATTTATTTATTTATTTATTTATCTCCTGATGGAAAAAAAACATCTCTTATAGTAAAAGAGGTCGAGGAATGATTGCAAGAATCATCACTGGACAAAAAACATAACTAAAACTTTTGAAAACTTGCGGTGCAATTGATTGATTTTTTACTGGACGATTACAAATTTATGAAATGATTGTAGATTTGTAGTCAGTTAACTCAAAAATCGAAAAATTAATGATGCTGTTCTACATAATACATAGTTTAATTCAACAGTTTAAGAAGATGTGTTTTTCTAAACATCATTTGGTATGAAAATATTGTGGATTTAACTAAAATAGATTGTGTATATTTCATAAAATCCTAGTTTCATGTGAAAATTTACAATGACGGATAATTTCGGTACAAAATGATGCCAATGCTTTCATATAATTTAGAGTCCGTTTGATATCTCTATATTTGGCTAATTAGTTCAATCAGTCAATTTTTTACCCCAACCATTTGATTTGACTGATTTTGCCTAAGAAGTAAGATCGCCGCACTAACTTTTACGGAGTATAATTGAATAGGCTTGTTGTTTCGAAGAATGTAATTTTAGTTTTTTCTTAATTTGATTAAAAAATTAGAATACATTATTCCCCTTATTTTACAACATTAAACCAATTCACCCATTAGAGCTCGAGCAATTTCTTCATCCAGTTTCAGGGTTACTAAATGAGTTCTTGATTCTAATTCAAATATATTTTATATAATCAAAGATCGTTAAATAACAGTGACTTTGATTTTGGTAGACCTCAAATAGTTTATATGAATGTAAAAAAATATTTTAATTTTGATTAAAATTATTATGACTTAGTTGGACAGTTTACATTATAATACCCATTAGTTTCATTTTTTATGAATTTGGGAGCATCTTTTAGTTGTTTTAAACTCAAAATGCATTTGTGTTGTAAAAGAGAACTTGATTTTTATATTTGTTAAAGTAATTGGTCGACCAGAAATGTTTATAGTATTTGTTTTTACTTTTATACTCCCTCGGTCCCTAATTTATCTCCTGAAGTACAACTGGCACACATATTAAGATAGTGAGTATTGTATGACGGAGAATTGTGCAAATGAGAGACAAATGAGAGAAATGTATTAAAACGTGTTAGAATTGCTGTGACCCGCAAATTTTCCGTCAAAAAGGGAAAACAAAGATAATTTTGGGAAGAAAAAGGTAATTTTGAAGATAATATAAAATGATTTTTGATAAATCAATGAGTTTTAGATTTATATTATTGACTGTGAGTCTCTAATTCCATAAAAGTTATTTTCGCAAATTCTAATAATAAGACAGGTTTTCAATATGCCATTTGCTGATTTGCTCTATTGAAATAAGTCACAAACTCTGAAACAGTTCCTTCACTCAATGATTGAAACTTGAAAGTAATACTACATCCGCTCCTAAGAATGAAGAAAAAGGGAGTGATGCCGGTTTTTTTAAAAAATAGAGCTATGTGATCGATAATGAATTGATAAAGTGAAAATAAAGTTAGAAATGAACAATTTATTAAATGTGTATACATATTTTCCCTATATTAATCTCGTGTCAAGTGGGAAAAATTGGACAATTATATATGTGATTAATAATGAAGAAAAAAGGAAAATTGAACAGTTATAGTGGGACATAAGGAGTGTGGTTTCAAAATATAAGTGTTATAATTTAAATCTGTCATGCAATTTTATATTGAGAATTAATGTGTACAAATACAGATTGATTTTCTAGAAATGGGCAATTTGTGAAATGTGTATACATATTTTTTCTATATTAACCTCGTGCCTAGTCAAATGGAGTGTTTAATAGGTAACTTAGGTTAAATGTGAAAGTTCTTTGCATAGCTTAGACACGACGTTTGACGAATAAATAATGAAATGGCTTCATAAGTAACAAGTCGGGCATTTGGTCTAGTGGTATGATTCTCGCTTCGGGTGCGAGAGGTCCCGAGTTCGATTCTCGGAATGCCCCTTTTTGGTCAAAACTTGTAATTTCAAAAACATGGATATACTTTTTCGAGAGAAAAAGGTCCTACCGGGAGTCGAACCCAGGTCGCTGGATTCAAAGTCCAGAGTGCTAACCACTACACCATAGAACCGCTTGTTGATGTTTATGATAATAAATTATTAGTAAGTGTAACCAGATCATATACTTCGTATTACGTTTTTATATAATCAACGGAGTCTTAATACAATAGGCATCATATATTACGTTTTCATTTTTTTTTAATGCATGAGTCTTCACCATTTAAACGAATCAAATGTATAAAAGTTATGAAATAATACCGCGTAATATTATGTTGGAGTTCCTATTGTGTTGTAGGTGGCATATCGAACTAAATGTTTATCTTTGCCGGGTTTTGCTAGTTTACTATACTTTTTTCTTTGATTTTTGGAATAACTTTTAATTGAATTCGTATGTTGTTTCAAAATATATATATATTTTAAATAATAATAATACTATTAGCTAATAATATTAGATGTGAAAGTTCTTTGCATCAAAGGGATTCAATTTTATCACTAATCAACATTTGATTTACGGAGTAGCTAATAATGTCGAGCATGTTGGAAGTAATGGTGACGATTTATATCTCACTACGTAATATTTTTGTTAGGAACTCTGATAAACTTGATTATTGTGTTCGGACTAATTTCTTAGATAAGAAATCCCCTAAATAGAAGTAAAAACATTTATAAATCCCAAAACAAAATTATCATATTTGTATTTTCTGAACAGGAATTACTAGTTAACTACTGTTAGACCTTTAACTAAACAGTATTTTTCAAACTTGGCATTAATTACTTTTATTTAGACAATAAAAACATGACAATCTTATTTTGAAATTCAAAAAAGAAATGCTCGTATAGTCGTATTTTAGTAATTTTCCCAAATTAAATCTTTTATCCAAATATCCAATACAGTCGATGAAAATGAGCACGGAAACAACATATTGAAGAGATATCAGACCATGGGTGATAGACTTGACCAGTTGACCAAGTAGTGATCAAGGAGGACCAGCTTGGTAACCTTGGTTGCAAGTGAGGTAAGAATCAAACCCGTGAGTACATAATTACATCAGTTTTTAAAATAGATTTAATTTTATAAAAACTTGGAATTCCATCATGTTCAATAATAAGAGTAGTTTAAGACTATTGGACGGTAATTTTATATTGAGCAGCCGTTATTAGTAATCAGACCTGAAACGAGACCATAAAAACTACTTCAGACCAGAACAGAGTATCATCCCAAACCTGGATCAGTTCTGTTTTTTCTAAAATGGGTCCAGAACCTGTCAATACTGGCTATCTCTTTTCCCAATTTTCTAGTTAACTACCCAAACCCGGACCGAGAACCGGGTCGGAGCCGCTCAAGCAAGCCACTGCTGACCCAGACCTGGATTGGTTATACCCAGTTACAGTTCCCCTTACCCCAGACTAGAGCAGGATTATGTCCAACACTAGATTAGCAGAACATAAAACAAAATAGCTGCTCCATCAAACTAACAATAGATATAAACTCTCACTGTAAGCATAAAGCTAAAAAATCTATCCATAAATACAAACAAAAGGGAAGTTTTGTATGTATTAAGTGTTGCGTTTAGATTAGGTTCAGAATTGAAATGTACTCTGTCTTACAACTAAATGAATGGCTGCAGTGCTGCCTCGCTTAAACATACATTCTCAAAATCTTCCTTGTACTTCAATGGTACAAAATTCATAGCAGGTTACCAGATGGAATAGACTTGGTCTTCAAGGCTATGATGTGATAAATTGAAGTATATTCATGGCTAAAGAGCAATACTTTACTCTTCACAGAATGCATTGTCTCATTTTGCTGGGATTGCATAGGCAGAATGTGAAGCAAGAGCTGAGTCTGCATTTCCAAATCAGGCAACTTTTGGCCCGACATTGAACTTGGCTATGAAAAACCCTATCGTGTCAAGATGAGAAGATGGATCGAATCTCTGAACAAAATCATCCTCACCAGGCTTCAACCACTCCCTGAGATAGTTTAACATTAAATGTGAAATATAAGACTAATCACTCCGATTGTCATAAAATAAAACTAAAAATGTATAGAAATACAAGAATGTAACTCCAGCTGATGTCAACAAGACGTCATTGTGTTTGTTAGCCAATGAGTCTCATATTTCTCACTGTAAATAATCCAATTAAGGAAATAAAGACTCACTCGATAAATCCATCAGAGAACTGGCAACAGCCAGTAAGGCCAGGTCCTCCAACTCTTGGATGCTAAGAGAAAAAAACTTTATTAGAAAATGAATAAGAGTTCATAAATCATAATCAAGGAGATGCTCAATAATATTTGGCTCGTTCGAAAAGACCAATATTAAAATTTATGTGCTAGTCTTTTTAGACTCACGAAGATCAAATTTCTCTTTAAGAGGCTCAGATATCATATTAAGTCAACCTAATAAAATGAGTATCCAAAGACCATATATACTGGTCTGTGACAAATGATATTTTCCAATGTGGATTGTAGAGTAACATATTGAAACTTTGCCATACACCAAAGAAAGTTAGTTCTACAACCTCAGAGGATAACCTAAATTCAAAAAGCTTGAAATATAATATTCTCTTACCCATTTGCATAGAAATACAAGAGAATGATGTCAGAGTTACCTGCTCTGCCAGTGAGAGAAACTTATATGTATCCAATGCATATCGAACCACTGCTTCATTCTCCCCAGGGTTTATGGTACATCTAAAGGTTGAAAAATTTGAGGGTTGTTTATATCAAATAAGCAGATATCTCATGGATGACTTTGGTAAAAAGTGTTAATATTACAGTACATAATACAGAACTAACTTATTTATTTGATCTAAAAACAACACCTGAAAACAGCATGTGTGGTTATAATACATATTAAGAAAACAGGAAATGCAAGTACACTTACGTAGAATACACCAGAACTCCACCAGGTCGAACAAGCTGAACAGCCTGATCAAACATTCTTTTCTGATACTTGGCATGCTTCCTTAATGATTCAATGGTTTCCTGCATATGACAACAGCCTATTTGGACTATTTTGAAAAGACCATACTGAAATGTTCATTAGTGCTGCAATAAGAGTAACCTTTTAGGTGAATAGTACTCAATGATGATCTTCAAGCCCTCTTAGTTTAGAAGATAAGACATATTACCTCTAGTTCTTAATACGAGGCAGCTTTTAAAATGGGTGAATGATGCGTTTATAAGGCATTTTGTTTTCCTACGAAGTATTTTATTTTCTTCTCTTTGTTTGGCCCAAACAAATATCGTATTCATGTTTATTTTCTAAAAGTATTCATTTAGAAGGCATAATAAAAGAACGTAAAATTTGAACATCATAGTATGATTAAAGAACTCAAGAAAATTAACAAGTGTTTGGTTTGTATAATTTGGTCAGTTGTGCCTTGACAAGGTTCGAATGTATACAAGGAGTATAAAAAGAAGTGGTGACATCAAAATATTTTAAATTAATACTGCAAATTTTCCAAAATATGGTTCGAACCAGCAATATTGGAAGAAAATGAGCTGATAATTAATAATAATACATGTCGTAGAGCAGAACAAGGAGTAAGAAATGTAGCTTACCTCCCCGGTAAAGAGTCGAGGTCTCAAACCTAGAGCAGAACAAGGAGCATCAAGGAGAACACGGTCAAAGCTATTTGGAGCAAATCCTTTGGACTTTTCAACCCTACCACCAGCACAGTTATTCCTTCCAGGCCCATTTCTCATTTTCCTAATACTCTTCCGTAATTCGGCTTTGCTTGTGTAATTATTGCTTCCCTGATGCACGGGTTCAGCTGAAATAATACGGAAGTTAGGCACTTGTATGAAAACTCAAAACGTCTTCCTATGTAATTTTATAAACATATGATTTAAGGTAATACCATGAAAACAATTGTTGCCTCACAGTGATCGAGTGAGAGACATGATATCTTGTGTGTGTGTGATGCATTTGACAAGAGTTACAATTAAAACCAAAACACACACTATACAATGGAATCATTGATAATTTGAGATGCACAAAAATAGATAGCACACTAATGTTGGCATGTTGCAAATGAAAGCACATGCTAACTAATCTTCAAAATACACATGGTATACTAACATGTGATCTGAGATGGTAATGCAGCATCCAAACCATCCGTCTCAATGGGTTGGATTTCGCACATCCTTGACAGTAATGTATCTGATGGAGTACTCTGAATTTCATTATTGACATGAAGAATAGGCAAACATTCATCTTCACGTGTTCGACGACAAGCTTTCAGTGCATCAAGTTTACATGTAGATATACAATTCAAACCCATCTCAGCAACCAACTTTTTAATATCAAGCACCTGCAGTGTTAGCCCGTGTTTTTAATTAAAAACAATGGTGTAAGTAATTCTGAATTAACGTACCTTCCTTCTACTTTTAAAAAGTGTCTACAAGCAAGGCACATTTGTAAAGTTTGAAAGAGTATAAAACTTATCAACATAAAAAGTGTCTACAAGCAAGGCACATTTGGCTGATGAATTAAATCTCAGACCAATCTTGACTTAGATATACAAGATAATCAAAAGACTAAACACCAGATCTTTTGAAACTATTTATAGAAAAAGCATGGATGTTGTTGGTAGAAAATAGCTTTAATGATCTTTAAAGCTATGCTATTTGGGTTTCAATAGTGCTCCAGATCTTTAACCCTCAACAAGATCTTTGGATCTATGGTTTTTGCACGCCTACAAGACTAAAAAATGATCGCATTAATTGTTGTACAAATTGCAACAGAAAAATTTTATATACTACATTTTCATCATATTCTTTACATCAAATATTCAAACTTATGTTTTTGAACCATCCATAAGCTTCTCAGCAATACTTATGGTGTTCATTTATGAAATTCAGCACCCACAAGAAAGTAACATCATCAAAGAGGCCTAGTAATGACCACCATCCAGTGGATGCAGAAAAATAGGTGGGGTGGGGTTGCAATGACAAGTCTCCGAATTGAATGTATATGTGTGTGTGCGCTTCGTTGTTCCTCTCAAATAGCTTTTAAAGCCTAAACCTGATACTGCCTGAATTATACAGACCATAATGGAGCTTCCATTATTCACTTTTCATGCATCTAAGGTCTCCAAAAGCAAGGCATGTTTAATAAGTAGTGTATTATACAGATAATACAACTACAATCACCTGCCAAGTTCAGAAGGAGCACCTTGTTGTGAGACCTATCAGCAGCAATTATCTCCCCTTGGTCCTTCATAAGAATTGCAATTGCAGTGGTTTTTCCACCAGGAGCAGCACACATGTCCAATATCCTCTCTCCTGGTTGAGGATCTGAGCAAACAGGTTGAGGAAAGGAAATAATAAGCAGTAATTCAAAGTGGGAATCAAGGTAGTCATTTACCATTAACCACTACAATCTAACACTAATAGACATCTTTTATGCATTACCAAAATTTTTAAGGGGCCATAGTAAAACAAAAGTGTTTCCACCGTCAATTTACTAAGTGGAACTTCTTTTAAGTTTTAAGGCAGCTCTTCTTCTTTTACAGTTTTACATAGTGCATATAAGGGAAATAATGATTTCATGGTTAATAGTTTAATATATTACATCATTGGCACCTTGAGCCTGTGAGTGGGTAAATTCTTCATCAGTATAGTAGCTAATTTTGCATGGTTTACAGATTTTATCTAACTGTAATCATGTATGGACTAATATTTTGCCAAACTGCGACTGATTGCTCAGATGAAAACTTTATACACATAAGCATGAAATTACTACAACGAAACCATTATATTTCCATAACTTTGGTTCTTGGCATCTCTGAATATCTACTATGTGATTGCACAAGCCATATCATGTTATAGCACTGCAGTGCTACCACAAAAGGTATACTCTTATAAATATCTGAGATATGTAATCATCATCATCATCGTCATTACCCCAGTGCCGCAAAGGCTCCCACCTACGGTGGGGTAAGGGGGGGTCGGATGTACGCAGCCTTACCCCTGTACTTAACACAGAGAGACTGTTTCCGGATGACCCGTGGTGAAAATCGTGTCGAAAATTGCATGGACTGACTGCTGCTTCATAACAAAGAAGCGCAGACAGTTTATTCAGACATTTTACTTTATTCCATCATATTCCCAAACCAAATATAGTGAGTTTTTGGCTCCATTACATCTGAGATATGTAATATATCCAGAAATGTGCAATAAATCCCATAGATAAAATTTGTGATAACAAAGTAACAAAATGTGTGATAAAGCATACCCAAGGCATGTGCAGCTACAATGCTTGGCAAATTTTGAAGAAAGATTTCACCCTCAAGCAAATCTATAAGACAGGAATTTAACTGTTAGTGTTAATTAATCAAACTACCCCAATTGTCTGTGATATTTGTATGAAATCTAAAGATGCAGTTTGCATCATAAAACTTTAAGAATGACGACCATAGTAAAATGATACAGGAGTGGAAACCAATAACTAGGATCTAGTGGTATATGAGAGAATATGAAAGAAACAAAATACCAATTTTCCTAGGAACAGCAAGCCATATAAGACATGATGGTGCATTACTAACAGCATGAACTTATATCTATATATGATGAGGAATAAAATATAGAGCCTATCACGAGATACAATGATGATACAATGGATGAATGGAATCTGATCACAGTTCATTATATACATGACAAATTCAAGGAAGAGGAAATCTATAGAGCCTATAACAAGAAAAATGATGTAAATAAGACGAGATGAGATAAGATGCATATCATCATCATTATCATAACCCAAGTACCGCAAAGGCTCCCACCTACGGTAGGGTAAGGGGGGGTCGGATGTATGTAGTCTTACCCCTGTACTAAAGCAGGGAGAGACTGTTTCCGGAATGAGATAAGATGCATATGAATGGCATAAATCCTCCAAAAACTTAATAAAATATATATGAACAGAGAAGAAGTGTACCATTAAAGGATGATAGTTCATACACCCTATTATGCATATGAACTGCAACTCCTCTTGGTACACGAAAGATCCCGGCTCGTGACAACATTGTGGTTCCTTGACCAATATATAGACCACTTCTTTCACAATAAAGAGGATCTGAAACCACATTACAACTCGTTACCAGAAATGCAAATCCAGTAGAAACTAATACAAGTAACAAACAAAGTTATATTAAAGATATGAGTGAGGGGAGCACAAATAACTCGTATAGATTGAGAAGATCTGTTAAGAATGAAAGGAAATAAAGAAAACTTGAGATTGAAGAAACACCAAACATCAAAACAGCCATTTTTTTGACATGACACCCATTAAAACATCGTGCAAATTTTAAATATATTAATATGACACATCAGGAACAGGACCATCCTATTCGGAGAAGATGTGTACTCAAATTCAGGAAAATGAAAAAAGTATTAGTACCAGTTTGGGATCCTTGGAGGACAGTCCCACGTGTCATACCAATACCCCATCCGCCTTCAGAATCAGGCTGTTCCACGGCAACTGAAACTGAAACCACATCACCTTTCTCAACATGAGCACTGCAGGCCAAAACACCGGGCACAAATACCTGCAAACCGATAATAAAAATCAGCTAAAGAAATAATGCATTTCTTGCCCACTTCATACATTTGGAAAACCTATACTTTTCATTCATGAATATAAAAAACCATTGCATACTACAGTACTACTTAGAAAGTTCTTACTTTACAAAGAAACATGCTTGTGCATGTTTTCCAAAGGAATGTTCATATCAGTTGAATATCGATATAGATAATATAGAGGGAAAACTGAAAGAAGCAAATTTACAGCACTCATTGCTAATGTAATAAAAGAAATAGATTTTGGGGACATGGAGCTTATCTTTCCTGAGAAACTCCATTATGCAATAGTTTCATCGCAATATACATCTTTTTATGACAGGAAAGGATACAAAGTTCTATAAAATGAAAACTTTGAGATACTGGACGGACAATGTACAAATGTACGATGTTGTATGGAATAAAGTCATTAAAACTTTAATTTACTTGAACATGTGAAGGTCCATAATAAATGCACAATTAAATAATGCAGCTATGCAAGTGTATCTCACTTAGTGGCAGTACCAGAAACAAAATTTTAGATACATTATACATGTGTTAGAGCACAATGACTAGAACGGATACTTACTTGGGCACCGCGGAGAACAGCCTCTGCACATTTTCGGCTCACAATCACCTCTTTCAACGGTTTACCTTTTTCTTGTTCATATTCAATAGCATGTGGTCCTGAGCCTTTAATGAAAATCACATAATCTAGCCCAGGAAATGGACATTTTGAGATACTTTCTGTATCAAGACTCGTCCTTTTACTACTTCCTTTGGATTCCACTATTGCCTCAGGGAAGTTTCCTGAATCCGTATTACTTGAATGAATAGTATCACCTTCTTGCCCTCTTTCCCTTAAAATTTTCAGAAGTTTCACAATAACATTATCACTTGTGGACTTGAGCGTATTAACACGAATACATGAGTAAGATGAAGGCCGCCTGAACAAAACACAGAGGACAGCAGGATAATCAGCAAACTCGATATTAACCATGGAAGCGGATACAATTATAAAGACTGGAACAGTACATACGCGAGGGAAGTGGAGATGCGAGCAAAGTGTTGAGCTCCATAAGCTTTGGTGAAGTAGTCTTCCACCTCGGGGTTCCAATGTAAGCTCGGATTGAAGCTGTAACGCTCGCCCATCTGTACACATAAAAAGAAGCGTATATAGGAACATTGATCGTCAAAATTGTACAGGGGAGGAGAGGGGAGAGAACCTGATGTGCCGTGGAGAGAGGCCGAGAAGTTTGCCGGAAGGTTTTGAACAAATGCTTCCCTCTTTGCATTCAATGAGAAATTACTAAATGAGAGGTGCCTGGGACTGGAGACACTCGGTTGTTGTTTGACTTAAGAAGTCATTTCTTGTGTCTTCAAAAAAAACAATAGTTTACACCCTGGGGTATACCCATTTATTTGCCCTTCACAGACAAAAAACATATAAATACAGACACTTTCATTTAAAGTGTCGGTGTGAGTAAAATTAGTTTCTAGATCTGTCAGGCTGGTTGCACGGAAACTAATGTCGGTGTACACAGACATTAGTTGTCTGTGTAAACAAAAAAGTGGCGGTGTGAAAAGTTAACTGGAAAATAAGTGTCGGTGTACACAGACGTTAGTTGTCTATGTAGACAAAAAAATGTCGGTGTGAAAAAAGTAGTTGGAAAACAAGTGTCGGTGTACACAGACGTTAGTTGTCTGTGTAGACAAAAAAATGTCGGTGTGAAAAAATTAGTTGGAAAACAAGTGTCGGTGTACACAGACGTTAGTTGTCTGTGTAGACAAAAAAGTGTCAGTGTGAAAAAATTAGTTGGAAAACAAGCGTCGGTGTACACAGATGTTAGTTGTCTTGTATAAAAAAAAGTGTTTGTATATATACAATTTTCGTCTGTGTACACAGACACTATAGCAAACCAGTGTCGGTGTGGATAAAACGTAAAAAGTGAGAAGGAAAGAAAAAGAAGAAGATGATGATGATGATAATGAAGATGATTAGGGTGAATAAAACCTAAAAAAGAGAAGGAAAGAAGGAGAAAGGAAGAAAGAAAGAACAAGATGTTGAAGAAGAAGAAAATGAAAGAAGAAAGAGAGGAGGGAGAGGGGTCCGTATGATTCAAATGGGAGAGGAGTGGGGAGAAGAGAGTGGAGAGAAAAAAGTTGGGAGGGGAGAAATAAGAAATGGGGAGTTATATAGGGTGTACACCAAGGTGTAACCCAAGGTGTACCAAAAGAATTTTTCCAAAAAAAATGTCATTTCTGGTTAGAGATAGGCCCAAATTATACTCGTATAGGCGCATGGTATACCAGTCCACTAATACGGTACCGTTTTTCTCTTCTCAAGCTTCCAACGTAACAATTCAATACTACAAAAGCTTTCTTTCTCTTTCCAGGTTAGTACTTTCGTTCTCTTTATTTTTCTTTTCTATTTCCTTCAATTCTTTTTTCTTCTACATCAAAATACTAAAACTTTATTTGTGATTTTACTTATATTTATCTTTAACCAATTAAAATACAATTGAATTTACTTTTTTTCTCTACCAAATTATTACAAAGTTTTATTAATCTACATAAGATACATAATTATAAAATACATAAAATACTTTTTTCATAATTATACTTTGCCATCTTTGACTTTTCAAGTCAATGATGGTAAAGTTTAGACCATGATTTTAATTAGTATACTATTATGAAAGTGATAAGTTTTATACTTTTATAAAAGTACTTTTAACAAAGAAAAATTTGATATAATTTTTGTATTATAAATAATTTCTTATAAAAATATATAATTGGTCAAAGTTGAACATGTTTGACCGAAAAATTCAAAGATGGCAAAGTAAAAAGGGACGGAAGGAGTACATTTTCTTTACTTTTTTTAGCTTCAATTGATATTACTATAGAATACATATTTTTGTAATATTTTTTTAGATTTCATATTCATTTTTTTTTCTATAATATATTTCTTATCTCTTTGAAAAAGAAAATATTTCTTATCTCTTTGATATGCTTTTATTGTTTTTAAGACATTAAATTTGTTTATTTTGATTTAAATTTCATAAAACATGAAATTACATTACATTTTTCATATGCGTGAGTTATGTTTATAGACAATTTCAGGAATTACATTTAATAGTATATGAAGTTACATCTTACTATGCGCGAATTACATCTTAATGTACGCGAGTTACATCTTAATATACGCGATTTACATGTAAATGTATGCGAGTTACACTACAGAATAAACCCCTGCTATATCATTTTTATAGCCCTATTATTAAAAATAAAACATATTCACTATTTAAAAAAAATAATTGGGCTATTGGGGATCAATTTTTCATTGTTTACATTGAAATCAATGTTTATAATACACACACATATTATTCTCAAAACAAAAAAATCATTGTTCAATTTTCCAACAAGTTACATTCTGTATACACCTAAGTTACACTTGTCATTAATGCGAGCTACATTTATAATAACACAAGTTACATTAAAAAATCAACCCCTGCTGTTGAAACAAAAAAAAAAGATCTTTTCTTAAAAATTACTACCTCCGGTTTTTTTTTAATATAATCTTCACAGTTTGACTTCACACAAAATAAGGAAAGAAATTTGACTTTACTGTAGGGTACACTGTTGAGGCACTGATTGACACTGTTTGGCACTGTAGAGACACTGTTTGGCACTGTTGATACACTGTTTGACACTGTTTTGATGTAGATTTCTTTGCCAAAAAGGGAAATAAGAAAGTGTGAAGTTTATTTTAGACCGTCCCAAAAAGGAAATTGTGAAGTTTATTAAAAACCAGAGGGAGTATTTTTTAGGGCCATGGTATTAAAAACAAAACATATTCACGTATTACCTAAAACAATTGTGCAATCAAACTCTTTTTTTTCATTGTTTACATTGAAATCAATATTTTATTTCTTATACTATGTATTTGATAAGTTACATTTCGAAAGGGCTTGAGTTACATTGATCAATAACGCGAGTTACATATCTTCACACGCGAGTTACATCATTCATGCTACTAAAAACAAATAAAAAAAATTATTTTCCATCATTTGCAATATAGCCAAAGTTTACCTATTTTTTGCTTGGAAATATCACGGAATAAGGCAAAATGGCTCTGTAAACTGTTTGCGCTTCTTTGTTATGAAGCAGCAGTCAGTCCATGCAATTTTTGACGCGCTTTTCACCATGGGTCATCCGGAAACAGTCTCACTGTGCTTTAGTACAAGGGCAAGGCTGCGTGTATCCGATCTCCCTTACCTCACCGTAGGTGGGAACCTTTGCGGCACTAGGGTAATGATGATGAATGAATGACCATAAAAATATATTTATAGTAACTTTAGTCACATTTTTATCCATAAATTTTATTTTGTAACATTTTTAGAAAACCTATATTATTTATTTATATGTATATTAAACAAAATATTGTGATAATTATCTTCTTTGGATTTGAATTGTTGATGATTTTGAAAACTAATATTTGTGTTATTATTTGCGGATTGTACTTTTGATTCATTTTATTTTTACTTTTGGAAGAAGGGGGCTTAAATTGATATCACAGCATTGGCATTCAGGCAGGGAGTTAAACGACAAAAGAACCACAGACAACCGCCAGTCCTCGAACCAGACTTAAATGAGCAATATAACTTGCTGATCCTATAATGGACATAAATGAGCCAAAGACGGTTAAAGCAGACATCCCATCACCCAATCCTAATGCAAGAGTCTTACAATAATAAAAGTAATCAACAGAAAAATAAGTAGTCTGATCATAAAAAATAAATCGCAAGCAAACAGTAAAATTAAAAATATGCTTCCAAATCTTAGACTCTCTTGCAATACTGTAGCTTCTTCCTCACTTTGCCTCTTCTAGCTTCATCATGTTTTCTATCAAACCTCTTCTATCGTAACCTAACACAGATGACCTCAAATCTAGATCTGTTCCAACCTCTAGCCTCACACTTCGTCCATGATCTTTGGACGTCAGAGACCAAACATCCATCTTTTGTCCCTGCACAACCTTCGGTTGCCTGAGACCAAGCATCATCTTCCCTCCGCTTAATCTCGCCAAAGCAAAAGAAGAAAAATCGCCACACAATTGATGGCGGAAGAAGAAACCCTGTACGCCTAAGCCCGCCTACGGCGGCCGCTCCTCGTTAAAAACGATAGCGGAGAAAAAAAACCTAGCGGTGGAAACCCACCCTAGAGAGAGAAAGAGCCGAAGCAAGTAATAAAATCTTCTTTTATTACACGATAATCCCTAAGTGAAGGTACTTAGAATAAATCCTTCTTGATGAATACCCGGCCTGTTATTCTGTTCTTTCTCGGAGCCTAAAAGTCTAAAGCTGCCGATTTTACTTTCCGATAAAATTCATTAAAAAAGATGTCACCCCATCCCTGAGGGCCCCCCAACACCAACCGGGCTCTTTCTTTTATTACTTTTATTTGTTTGATTAATTTTATTTGAAAATAGGTTTTAAAATATAAAAGGAAAATGAGATGATTTCACATTCGGGCTTTAACCGGTCCAACCCGAATCCGGTTCGAACCTGGGCTACAAAAATCCCGACTCAGACCGAATATAATGGGCTTTGTTCTGGTCCCTAATTTTCATAACCCGAGACCTTACGGGTAATTTCCGGGTTTAGCAGAAACGCGATCCAGATCGGACCGATCCCACCCCTATTTATGACTCGTACTTGGTACGAATAATGTTTTGGGAGAGTAATGAAAAAAAATATTACAACATGAAATGTGTACTCTATACATTTCGAAAGACTTCCTTGTAAACAACATTGATAGTATGGTCGATTTAATTTGTTCCCCATTTTCACCGCAAATCAGTATCTTCAAACCCTTCCGATTTGTTACTCTCAATACTGCAACATAAAGTTGACCATGTGTAAACACTTGCTTTTTTAATAAGAGGCCAACATGCGACAAAGATTGACCTTGACTTTTATTTATTGTCATCTCATAAGAGGTAATGACAAAAATTGTCTTCTTGAAACTTGAACGGTATTCTTGAATCAGGTAGAGTCAAATTTAACCTTGGAATGACAACTTCATATCCAGCATATTTTCCCCCTAGAATTTTTGCTCCAATGATGTGATTCCCAAAGTCGTGTAACAATCAACCTCGTTCCATTGCATAGCCTCATAGAAGGATCAATATGTATATCTCAGAAGCATTATTGGAGTATCAAGTTTAAGGATTAACTCATGGTTCGGAACTCATGATGCACGAATTTTATTGAGAAATTTCTGGAGTGTGCAAACTAGCCAAGAAATCAGCATTTGAGTCTGACTTGCGGCAGCTATCAGAACTCAAATATGTCTTTGACTCTTTCTTAACATTAAGAGATGTCATGTATTCATTAATTTGATCCACGACATCAAGAGTCGGAGCTAAAATTGCACGCTCTTGCAAGTATGATGGGTCATTAGCAATATTATCAAAGTCCGGATAGGTGCTTTTCACAATAGTGGCAATTACATCCTCTCCACTCTCTAACAGAGTGTCGCTTGGATTATTAACATCGGCAAATCCATCATTATCTTTGCCTGCAGTACCATCCCCTAAATTGGCAATCCACTTCGCAAACTCTATCAAATCTTCATATTCACGATCTTCACTTAGTGATTGCAACCTCATGTCCTTCGTCAAACGTAACAAATGCAATCATGTCAAATACATGAAGAGGTTTTGGCATTTACTATGTCTTGTCTAGTACCCTTTGCACTGACTGGTAAAATTTGTCTAAAATCTCATCCATAGTGTGTTGTGGTTTCGAATTGTGTAGATAATCCTATTTATAAGGGATAACAAACTCTAGTCTTGGTTTTCTTTGCATTGAGTATGTACTATCCAGTGAATAATAGCCCGAATCATTCACCTACCTCATTTATTGCTGTTGTAAAATCAAAGATGTTTTACAGTTGCAGAAATCTTATGCATTTAATGTATTTTAACCACATAAGCAAGATACTTCCGCTTGGGAATAGAAATCAAAGCTGTAAAGTGCAAGACTAAAATCTAAATAATGCTTGGGAATAGAAATTTGTTGCTTGGAAATCGTTATTCACTAAATGGTAATCTCTCACAGATCTTGGTACTTCATAAATCACAAAAATTTGAAAGAAAAAAAAAAGAAAGAAATTCCCTCAATAAATGTGGACACAGACTGTGCAGACCCAGGCTCCTATTGGGCGACCCTTTTTTGTCCTGGTAAAATTGGCGGGAAAAGTGTTGTTGTTCCACTCCGGTTTGTATATAGTAGGATAGTAGGATGAGGGAGTTATTATTTTTATTAATAACAAACAAGAAGTATATAGTGTTTCCTACAATTTCAAAAAAGTTAATTAAACTCCTCAACTAAAAGAACATCCAATCATACCCATTAATGCATTTGAAATTTTCAAATCTTTTTTTAGCCAGTTTAATGACCGATTAGCAGTTGAGATAAGCATTTGGCCTTCGATGTGACGCTTATTATACATGTAAGTGCTGACTAAGGTAGATATAATGTATAATAGCTTAACGGTGTCTTCATCCCAAAATCCCAACTAACCCCATTTTTGATCAATTTGCAGAGATTAGAAGTAGAGCGTACCGAACAATGGTAGATGAGCACGTAGGATCAGAACAAGGCTCAGAGCATATGAAATTGAAATTATTATCTACACTTTAACGCATACGATAGTACTTGAACTACCCTACATATGTTGTCTTCCCCTTAAAGGTCAGTAGACAGGTTTGGTGTGTGCAACCTATTTTGTGTTCACGTAATTATTTGATATTTGTTTTGATTCAAACTTTGGGTGTACATTGAACGGTATTTACCATCAAGATGTTTGAACAAGTGGAACTTATCATTCAGAGGGAATTTCGTTTACAATCCTAAGTGTGTACAAGGATGGTGAAGTAGATAATGTACACATCGGTCCAAATTTAACTTGCTACCCATGTGTCATGAAAATTTTGAAGGATGGTACTTATGGAAATATCAATGGACTCTTAAGAAACCTAATTTGAGGACATTATGGGGAGTTTAGACGAGCTGTTTAGAGGAGTCCACCTTACATTTAATTGATATGGCCAGAAGTTGTGGGCAATGTGACATCTTTGTAGAGCACGGGTTAGATGATGTGGAGTTAGTTGAACCCCCCTCCCCCCTCCCCCCCTCCCCCTTACGTGCACTAGCTATTGAAGAAACACAAAATGAGAGGGACATTAGAGGTTTAAATGAAGAGATAATCCAAGAGCCCGGTGAAAGGGAAGAGCATGTGTTTATTGAAGAGGATGATAATGAAAGTGAAGAGAGTGAAGAGGATGTATGTGAAGGGGAATCTAATAATGCAGAGGAGGTTTTTTTTAACGCAAAACAGACGACTTTATATTAAAATCAAGAACACATACAAGACAATCTTCAGACAAATTTTACAGATCCAATCGTGAACCCTAGGAGTAGAAATAGAATCAGTCACCTCATACAAAGCAACCTGACTCGCTAAACCTGAAACGGACAAATTTAAGCCTAAAACGAACAGATCTGAAACCTGCCTATCAAAATAGCTCAGAAAATCCAAACATTCAGGATGCAAGTTTCCTTTCATACAACCAAGAACAAGAAGATATACTCCAGGATGCATGTTTGCCCTTGATTCCTTTTTTAGCTTTTGATGAAAGTCTTTTTGGATGTCTAAAAGTCACGTTTAATTTATGTGCTGTTGAGTCTAATGATGAAGTGAGTATAGCATCCCTTCACTCCCGGTATTTAGGTGGGGAATGAGAAATATCTTGCCCATCCGCGGCCATGCCATACTTCAAAATCCATCCCCTTTTTCTTATAGGCCGCACACCCTTGTACTCAAGAAGTGGTTACTAATTAAAGCAAAGCAATGAAATGTAGATTTTTTAGAAGAGAGGTGAGTAGTGATCTTTTTAAACCAATTTTACCAAAAGAACATAAATTTAACATCTCTGTACAACATTTAAAAACTGCACAAAAACCCAAAAATTTAAAAAACAATTTCCAAATTATAACTTGAAAGCTGTTTAGAGAACTAAATACTTTCTTCATTCTCTTTTAGTTGCAACATTCCCATTTTCACACTTACCGATGCACAACTTTAATCGTCATTACATTTAAGAATTCTCTATTAGTAAAAAAAGTTTAAAAGTCAGATAATGAAAATTTGTAATGAGGCGAATTCAACAATATTTTCCACGTAAGTTGCACGTGACAAATCTACTTACACGTAAGTTGCACGCTCGTTGCACGCTAGTTGCACGAGGCATCCCCATTTCGATTTCTGCATCAATGTCAATTTTATTTAAATTTAAAACGTTATTGTTTTAGAACCGAATGTTGTAAATATAGCTTTGTTAATAATAAGCTTGTAAAGTTGCAGCATAAAATGATCATAAATTAGATGAGAAGAGCTCAATCGAAAATGTCCATATTTGTACTACTCATTAGCTATTAGAATATGTATCATGTGGATAACAATTTACGAATTATAATTTGGATGTTTATGGAGCTTGCAATGTATTTTTAATAATAACCAGTTTAATAATAATTATTTTTAATAATAATTATTAGTTTGTGGCTTCTTCCTCCTCCTCCTCCTCCCACCTTCTTCTTTCACTTATTGGTCAGAAAATATGTAGACATACATACAAACATGATACAAACAGCATACATACATGATAATATGATATATACATACATGATAAATCAGCCCGTGGGTAAGTGGATAACAATTTACTAATTATGGTTTGGGTGTCTATGGGACTACGTATCATCATCAGCATCACAATCATCTTCATCTAATAAGCCAAGTATCATCATTATCATCTTCATTTTATAAACCAAAAAAAGATAATACAGCCTTGATTGTGATGCATAATTGGCGACTCTTGTTCATCTGTCCCTATATGATGACAGCTTCTTAGCCTTGATTTCCTTTATTTGACATATTGCAGAACCCATTTTGCTAATCAAAAATAGAAAATTTTGTTAAAGAATGAAGAGCTTCCTGTTACTTCTTTAGAACTGCAACAGATTCATAATTATTAAGAGAGGTTTAGTAGGTTTAGAGCTTAGGATCATTAAGTCTATTTTTAGAAATATTTGAAATGAAACGGATTTGGATGGGTTCATAGAAGTATAGGACTATGTATAATCTAAAACCTATAAAAGGATAAGAGCTGTAATTTAACAACCGACTGACACAAGCTGATCTGGAAGCACACATAATATGACACAAGCTGATCTGGAAGCACACATAATATGACACAAGCTGATCTGGAAGCACACATAAGATGACTCTGGTCCATGTGTCCTAATACTAACTAAATATGATAACATATTTATTTTTGTTTTTTGACATATTGCTAATGATAGATAGAGCCGTTTTCTTAATAATAAAGTGCTTCCATTATCTGTCTAGAACTGCAGCAGACTTCAGAATTATCCAGAGAATTTTTCCATGTTCTCTATGTTTAGTTTTTTGCATCATGAAAGAGCCGGTAGAAATCATTTGCAAGCTCCTCACCTTTCTCTTCTTCTTCCCCTACTTCTTCTTGCTATTTTTTCTTGGATGGGTTAAAGGTATTTACTCTTTTTACATTCTAAACCATTAGTTTATTTAATTATTCCCATTGTACTTTTGTATGTATGTATGCAGGGGCGGACCGTAGTACAGACCCAGGGGGGCTGCCGCCCCCCAACAAATTTTTTTTTTAGTATATATATATACAAAATTTTTATTTTTACCCCCTCAACATTTAATTCTCGCCCCTCCAAGAAAAATTTTGAACCCCGCCAAAAAATATTTTCTCCCCCAAAGCATAGCCCACTCGCAGAAACCCAATTGTTTAAGAGCCTAAAAAAATAGAAATTTTACAAGTAATATTATATCAACTCACTCCAAAATTTATTCTCCATTAACCCACCCCAAGATCTAATCCTAGCCCACCGCCCAGACCAAACTAATGAAAAACATGCGCACCTAGAAGAAAGAAACGGAAAGATCGATTATTTTTAAATGATTGTCCTTATGCCTACTATGTTCATTGCTTAGCACATCAGTTGCAATTAGCATTGGTTGCTGCTTCTAGAGAGGTGAAATATGTGCACAATTTTTTCATTGATTCAGTCTTTATTATTAATGTGACAAATTCTTCTTGCAAACGAAGTGATGAATTAAAGGAAGCTCAAGCACTTGAAATTGCAAGAATGTTGGAAATTGGTGAGCTTGAAACAAGCAGAGGACTTAATTAGGTTGGTACATTACAACAAGCTGGGGAAACTCGTTGGAGCTCACATTTCAGTTCTGTTTGCAGTTTGATTAGGATGTTTGCTGCAACTTGTTCTGTTTTAGAAGATGTTGAAGAGAATGACAATAACTATTCTACTCGTGGAAATGCAGCTAGAGAACTTAAGAAGATTAAATCTTTTGATTTTGTTTTCTTGTTGCATCTTATTAAAGAAATTATGGGCATTACAGATCTTCTATGTCAGCATATACAGAAGAAGTGCCAAGACATAGTAAATGTTATGCTTTTGGTGTCAAGCACCAAAATGTTGATCCAAAAGTTAAGGGAGGGTGGATGGGATAACTTCTTAGAAATTGTTAAAGAGTTTTGCACAAAGTATGAAATTGAAGTTCCTAATATGAAGTCTCCTTATGCGGTAAAACGCAAACGCCATGATCAAGAAGGGTTTGATATTGAAAGTCACTATCGGGTTGATATGTTTTACGCAGCCATAGATTCATAATTGTTGGAGCTGAATAGCAAATTCGGTGAACAGATAATGGATATTCTTACTCTTAGTGGTGCTTTGGATCCTAAGGACTCATATAAGTCTTTTAACATTGATGATATCTGTTCTTTAGTGGATAAATATTATCCCTTTGATTTTATTGAGCAGGAGAAGGTGAGCATGAGGTTTCAATTGCAACATTATAAGCTCAATGTTCTAAACCATCCAAAGTTGGCGAATTTTTCTACAATGGGTGAACTTTGTCAAAGATTAGCGGAGACGGAGATGTCAAAAGTGTACTTTCTTAGCTTGTTGATAAATTGATCCGACTTTTGTTGACTCTACCGGTGTCGACAGCAACAACTGAAAGGACTTTTTCCGCAATGAAAATTATAAAAACAAGGCTTCGCAATAAAATGGAGGATGAGTATGTTGCAGACAACCTTATTGTTTATATTGAAAGAGAAATTGCTAAAACTTTTGACTAAAAAGCCGTGATTGAGGAATTTATCTCGTTGAAGAAGCGTTGGGTACAATTCTAAGGTACTAACTTTAACTATTTTGTTATAATATATTTGTCTCTTCTTCTATTATAATGCTTCATTTAATTACTACTCCGTATTATATTAAGGTTATAACTTATAATAATAATCGCCTAGATTTTTTGTTTAAATTATCGCCCCCCAATATCAATTTCCTGGGTCCGCCCCTGTATGTATGTATGTATTTTGGTTGTAGCTTGCTTAAGTGTTTTTTTGTGGGTTTTCAAATAAATATGAGTAGAGAAACAATACACTTCAAATAAGATTATACAAAGTCATTTTTAATACTTTAATTTGTACATCACTAACACACCACCACTCTCCATGATTCTGCCCATGTGACCAGCGGCAACAATTTACTAATTATAGATCTACGTATCATTGTAATCATCTCATAAGCTAAGTATCATCATTATCATCTTTATTTTCTGAAAATAAAAAAATTAAAAAGATAATGTCAAACCAACGACACTAGCTGATTGTGATGCATAGTTGGCGACTCTAGTCCATCTTTCCCTATATGATGACATCTTCTCAGCCTTGATTTCCTTTATTTGACATATTGCATAACCCATCTTGCTAATCAAAGATTGAAAATTTTGTTAAAATGCAGAGCTTCCTGTTATTTGTTTAGAACTGCAACAGATTCAGAATTATTAAAAGAGGTTTTTGTTGTTTTATACTCAAGATTTTTATCATGAAAGTGCCTGCAGAACTCATTTTCAAGCTCCTCAGATTTCTCTTCTTCTTTCCCTGCTTCTTTTTTATCTTTTTTCTAGGCTGCGTTAAAGCTATTCACTCTGTTTTACATCCTAAACCACTAGTTAATTTATTTTATTTCCATTTTTGCTTTTTATGTATATATTGTTGTTGCAGCTTGATGTGATTTTCTGTAGGATGGATTATTAATAGGACGGTTGGATTCAGGGACAGCTCTCTTAAGGGAAAGTTAGAGAAAATCTCAACTACTTTTCCAAAAAATTAAATGTCAATTTTAATACTTTTATATCACTTAGAGCGATGCTGCGAATGACAAGCCCCGTCAATGACACCCCCCAAAGTGTTAACGTAACTGGTGGTAGCAGTTTCCGGGACCCGCAAAAGAATTCCGGCATCAGTGACTGTTCAGCTGGCGGAGGGAGGCTGAGCGATGGCTAGGAGGGTCGATGGGTGAGAAACAGAGAGAGAAGATTGAAATAGGTTTAGAGCTTAGGATCATTAAGTCTATTTTTAGAAATATTTGAAATGAAACTGATTTGGATGAGTTCATAGAAGTATAGAACTATGTACTCCGTATAATCTAAAACAATATTATAAAAAGGATAAGAGCTGTAATTTAACAACCGACTGACACAAGCTGATCTGGAAGCACACATAATATGACACAAGATGATCTGGAAGCACACATAATATGACACAAGATGATCTGGAAGCACACATAATATGACACAAGCTGATCTGGAAGACTGGAAGCACACATAATATGACATAAGCTGATCTGGAAGCACACATAATATGACACAAGCTGATCTGGAAGCACACATAATATGACACAAGCTGATCTGGAAGACTGGAAGCACACATAATATGACATAAGCTGATCTGGAAGCACACATAATATGACACAAGCTGATCTGGAAGCACACATAATATGACACAAGCTGATCTGGAAGCACACATAAAATGACTCTGGTCCATGTGTCCTAATGCTGACTAAATATGATGACATATTTGATTTTTTTTACATTGCTAATGATAGATACAGCCGTTTTCTTAGTAATGAAGTGCTTCATTATCTGTCTAGAACTGCGGCAGACTTCAGAATTATTCAAAGATTTTTTTCAAGTTCTCTATGTTTAGTTTTTGCATCATGAAAGCGCTGGTAGACATCATTTTCAAGCTCCTTAGCTTTCTCTTCTTCTTCCCCAACTTTTTCTTGCTATTTTTTCTTGGCTGTGTTAAAGGTATTCACTCTGTTTTACATACTAAACCATTAGTTTATTTATTTTATTTCCATTTTTCCTTTTTATGTATATATTTCTGTTGCATATACATGTAGAGACATTAATTGTCTATCAGGGATTCAGGGGCAGCTTTCACACCCTTAAGGGAAAGTTAATGAAAATCTTCACTACTTTACAAAAATTTCAAAGTGAATGTCACTTTTAATACTTTTTATATCAATTTGAGCGAAACTGCGAATGACACATCCCGTCAATGACACCGCCCCAGCAGTTAACGTAACTGGTGGTGGCAGTTTCCGGGGACTCGCAAAAGAATTCCGACATCAGTGACTGCTCAGCTGACGGAGGGAGGCTGAGCGATGGCTAGGAGGTTGATGGGTGAGAAAAGAAATTGGAATAGGTTTAGAGCTTAGGGATCATTAAGTCTCTTTTTAGAAATATTTGAAATAAAGCAGAGTTGGATGAGTTCATGGAAGTGTAGAACTATGTATAATCTAATACCAATATATTATAAAAAAAGACAAGAGCTGTAATTTAACAACCGACTGACACAAGCTGATCTGGAACTCTGGAAGCACGCGTGAGATGACACAAGCTGATCTGGAAGCACACATAGGAGGACACGAGCTGATCTGGAAGCACACATAGGAGGACACGAGCTGATCTGGAAGCACACATAATATGATTCTGGTCCATGTGGCCTAAGACTAACTAAATATGATGACATATTTGATTTTCGTTTTTTCACATATTGCTAATGATAGATGGAGCCGTTTTCTTATTAATGAAGTGCTTCCATTATCTGTTTAGAACTGCAGCAGACTTCAGAATTATTCAGAGATTTTTCTCATGTTCTCTATGTTTATCTTTTGCATCATGAATGCGCCGGTAGAAATCATTTTCAAGCTCCTTAGCTTTCTCTTCTTCTTCTTCCCCTACTTCTTGCTATTTTTTCTTGGCTGTGTTAAAGGTATTCACTCTGTTTTACATACTAAACCATTAGTTAATTTATTTTATTTCAATGTTTCCTTTTTATGAATATATTTTTGTTGCATATACAAGTAGAGACATTAATTGTCTATCAGGGATTCAGGGGCAGCTTTCACACCCTTAAGGGAAAGTTAAAGAAAACCTTGACTACTTTACAAAAAATTAAAGAGCGACTATAAATGTCACTTTTAATACTTTCTATATCACTTCGAGCGAAACTGCGAATGGCAAATCCCGTCAATGACACTGCCCCAGATGTTAACGTAACCGGTGGTGGCAGTTTCCATTTTCCAAGGACTCGCAAAAGAATTCCGACATCAGTGACTGCTCAGCTGGCGGAGGGAGGCTGAGCGGTGGCTAGGACTTGATGGGTGAGAAACAAAGAAAGGAGATTTAAATAGGTTTAGAGCTTAGGATCATTAAGTCTATTTTTGGAAATATTTAAAATAAACCAGATTTGGATGAGTTCATAGATGTGTGGAACTATGTCTAATCTAATAACAATAATAGGATAAGAGCTGTAATTTTACAACCGACTGACACAAGCTGATCTGGAAGCACACATAAGATGACACAAGCTGATCTGGAAGCACACATAATATGACACAAGCTGATCTGGAAGCACACATAATATGACACAAGCTGATCTGGATTCTGAAAGCACACATAAGATGACTCTGGTCCATGTGTCCTAATACTAACTAAATATGATGACATATTGCTAATGATAGATAGAGCCGTTTTCTTAATAATGATGTGCTTCCAGCTTCCATTATCTGTTTAGGACTGCAACAGACTTCAGACTTAATCAGAATTTCAGAGATCTTTTCATGTTTTCTATGTTAAATTTTTTGCATCATGAAAGTGCCAGTAGAAATCATTTCCAAGCTCCTTAGCTTTCTCTTCTTCTTCCCCTTCTTCTTCTTGCTATTTTTTCTTGGCTGTGTTAAAGGTATTTACTCATTCTGCATTCTAAACCATTAATTTATTGAACTATTCCCATTATACTTTTGTGTATATATATATATCTTGGTCGAAGCTTGCTTATGTGCTTTTTTGTGGGATGGATTATCAAAGGCTGCTGGATATAGGTCACAGGAAGCACATAAAATGTTGAGGGGTTGTCAAATAAATATGACTAGAGAAAAGAAAACTTTAAATAAAAAGATTATACAAGTAATTTTTAATACTTTGTCCTCCGTATCACTACGAGTAACACACCGCCACCGTTAATGATTCAGCCTTCGTGACCAGTGGCGGCAGTTTTTGGCAAAAAAATACGGCATCAGTCACCAATCGGCTGGCAGCGAACACGACAGTTAGAGGGTTAATGGGCGAGAGAGGAGCTTGGAATAGAATTAGAGCTTAGGATCATACAGTTCCTTTTCTTTTTAAAAATACCTATATTAGAACTGGAGAAGTTATATTTTTTCATTCTGCTTTTAATTTTATTTTTGCAGGTTTAGTCATTGGTACCATTCTATCAGGTATCATTGGTGTTGGAAATTCAGCTGTTGTAATTGGACTTTGGCCAGCTCATTTTGTTTGGACGTACTTGTGTGTGGCAAAGTATGTTTTCTCCCCCTCTAATACAACATTCTTGCATCTGCTAGAGTACTAATATTGTTTATTGCTTGAACTTAAACTGAAATATTTTGTTTTTATTGGTCATTTTTTACTTTGGTATCTGGTACTAAATATGAAGGAGCAAAAGGCTTGGATGTGTTCTAAAGAGTACAGTTCTGGTGTTATTGCCACTACCTTTGATTCTTTGGCCAATCATGGCGGTTCTTGGAAGCCTTTTTGGTGGCTTAGGCTATGGATTCTTTGTTCCCTTAGTAGCAACATTCAAGGCCATTAACGAGGGAGTCACTCACAAAATCTATCATTGCTTTGTTGTGAGTGTTTTGCTCAATGTTCACGCCATTTTGAACATTATTTATTAAGCACTTTCTTAATTGTGATTGTTATAACACATATATTTTAATAAATTTAAAAAAATTAATAATTTGTTGGCTGAAAGGTTTTATCCTATAAAATAATATCACAAGTAATGAAGGGTAAATACTCAAATTAGGACCTCCTCACCCCCACTTATTTCAGTTCAGACCCAATTAGATCATATTCCACACTTAAACAAAACATACCAACAAATCATAAAAGACAATACTAGCCTTCAATGATATAAAATACACACAATATCAAACCTTACATGTTCATAGCAGATCAAACTAAACATAAACAGACTAAAATAGACTTAAACATATCAAACTAGTTCAGATACAACCATATCGCCATATGAGCATGTCCTTAGAATACGCACATATACAAAAATTGACCTTTTATGTATTATGGCACCTGGACTAGCGTATAATATGCATAAAAATGCTGATCAGAATGTTATTGAAGTGGGGGGGAAATATTCACATTGTTTGTTCCTTGAATAAATAGAAAATGTTAAAGACCATGCAAATTTTTTCAGGATGGTACGGTGTCTACTATCAAAGAGGGCCTCACTATAGTAATGGATTTTACAGACTTTTGCTTCCACTCATACTTCTCCTACATGGATGAACTTTGTGAGGAAGTGTATCTCGATGAGAGACTCATGGACGTAAAGTAAGAAAGATATAAGCTTGAATCTTTCCAACTATCGGTTTTTTCTTTTATGTGTTCGGATTATTTTCCCTACTATAATCACGCGTTTAGCACCTTAGAACACATTTTGTAACCCTTGTTTCTTTATACTTACAGAATACATCTTCCGGTTTTAAAAACAGTTTTATTATGAATTCTATTTTCGATAGTCAAACATCATAGGTTACACAGAGCATCTTATTTTCCGCAAGTTACACAGAGCAACAGTTTAATTAAAAGTTAATGGTGAAGTATTATATTATGGCGTTCAGGTTGTCAAACTTGCCTACTAGTCTTCTGGTTTCTGTGCTTGCTATTATTGTGGATGTGCCCCTCATTACTGCTGTTGCTATTTGGAAGAGCCCATGCGTGTGGTTTAGGGGTTGGAAACGTATGTTAGAGGACTTGGTTGGAAGAGAAGGCCCATTCTTGGAGACTGCATGTGTCCCTTTTGCAGCTCTTGCAGTCCTTTTATGGCCTCTAGTGGTAGCGGGATTTGTTGTAGCATCCTTCGTTTCGAGCTTTTTTCTTGCAATGTATAGCGGGGTTGTTGTTCATCAGGTTTTTAAATCTTTTTATTTTTCTACTTCCTAATTCCTATTATGATTTCACATCAGTTTTTCATCATTTCATTATATGTTTATACTTTATAGGAAGACTCATTTCGGTTCGGACTCACATACATTGTGGCAGCAGTTTCATTGTTTGATGAGTACACTAACGACTTACTTGGCCTGAGAGAGGGATCGTGTTTCATCAGGTAATGATTCTGTTCTTATTTTCTTTTTCCAACCACTGGTTACTCTATTATATATACTATATATAGTGTCTTCTTTTAAGGATATATTTCACAAAATTATAATCTTAGTTAATGAGGGCTGTTCCTGTACATATGGATGTACAGGAAGCTCCGTACGGACAAAGCCATCCGAGGCCCTTCCCGGTCGAATTTTTTGAGCATGTTCTTCATCAAGTCTAGAAATATACTGCACATTATATGTGCGCAGAATGCGCCATATATTTCAAGAATTTATTTGACTGCCTTCCCAATCAAATTTTGAGCTGAAATTTGGTATGGATAAACTAGACTTGATGAAGAACATGCTCAAAAAATTTCCATCACAAAATTTCACCCGGAAGGGCTTCTAATGGCTTTGTCCGTACGGAGCCCCCCGTACATCCACATGTACATGATCATTCCTCCTTAGTTAATTATCTCAGTTGATCTTCAAAACTGTGGCTGAATTAATTACATACTTACATATGTATTTCAAATAATTCTAAACAAAGAGTGAAAGTGTCATTTCCTTCCATTTGATTGATTCTCATAACAAAAGGAAGTAAGTTCGCAATTTTTTAAATTGGTCAATAGTGTTAAGTAAACAAAATCTTTCTGAGCATAAAATTACTAATCATATGTGTGTACACAAACCAATGATTTCTCACATTGTGAACAATGTTGATAGTGTAGTATCTTTTGACATCTAGGCCTAGATACCGCAGAGACACAAGTTCTTCTAGTGAAGATAAACTCGAAAACAACTCAATTGATCATCGCAATGAAAGGGAAGAATCACGAAGTCCGAGTATGGGGTCCACACAACCGAGGCAAGCTAAGCAGAAATATACACCAATGCAGGTCCATAGGCACACACTTTTTCAATAATCGCTTGAACATGCTAAACTTTTTGTCGCTGTAGCGTTAAGTTATTTGATTACTCTGCCTGTAAGGTTGGATTTATTAAAATGAAACGTCAAATCTTAAGCATAAAACTAATCAGCTTTACTGAAACAGGTGTGGGGATGGCTTTTTAAATCGTGTGAGGTGAATGGAAGAACACTACTCCGTGAAGGTCTAATAGCTATCGAAGATATTGTGGACGGCATTGTGAAGGGAAATTCGAAAAACCTAGATGTCAAACTTCCTGCTTTCTCCATCTTACAGTGTCTTCTTGAATCAGCAAAGTCCTATTCGGTTGGCTTGGTCATTTGTAGGTGCATTGCAATTATTATTCTGTTGAGTTTGTCGAATGCAATATTTCTGAAATGTTTGCATTTTCTCGTTCTTTAGTTGATGGAGTGGAGTTAACAAAGACTAGTTGCCCGCAAGACATAATATTTGAGTGGTTTGTTGGACCACTTTTAGTCATGAAGGAGCAAATGAAGATACTTCAACTTGGAGATGAAGAGGAAGTTTGCCTAAGGAAGCTGATAATGTGTTGCCAAATCGGCAGGTCCACTGAATCGGACGATATTGGATTCTTATCCAATGACAATGTTAGAAGAGCGCAATTACTAGCGATAATGAGGAGGTTAGTTTTAAAATCCTCAACTCGGGAATTTATCTTTAAAAAATTCTTTTTTATGCTCTTTTATCTTTTTATCTTTTATCTTTCTTATATTCGTGTGTTATTGTTATCTTATATTTATCTTTATATTATCCATTTTATCATACTTTTTCCCTTATCTTTCTTCTCTTTTTAGCACTCTTATCATGGATCGATTCATATTAGCCTGTTAGCCGACCCCAAATTCTTTTGGGATTAAGGCTTGGATGTTGTTGTTGTTATTGTTGTACCGATGAGCTAGGCCAAGGGGTCAACTCAGACCTTATGAACACATATGCAACGTCTTATTTATTTCTATCTGGGAACTCTTATCAATAATCCAATCAATTTACTCATTATTATCTTCTATACATGAATACATAACAGGTTGCAGGGGATTGGTAAATCAATATCACGTATGCCTACATATCGGAGGCATTTTAAGAACTTGGTGAAGCAGTTATACCTTGAGGCAAAAGAGATCAGCCTTAGCAACATTGAAGAAGTTCCCAGTTCTAGCCAAGGCAGTGGCAGCAAATGCAGACATAGTAGAGAAGAAGAATCAGAGGGTGGGAATGTATGTGTGGAGAATGAGCAAGCTCTTCAGATCAATGCAAATACTGTGTGAATAAATAACCCTTTTTGAACCATTTTAATGACAGTGATATTCTCAAATGAGGTGTTACAGAGTGAACTTTTGGAGAACCATATAGTATTTTGATGTGATTTATTGTTATGGTTTACCTATATTTATTGTTTTTAGACTCCATTTGTTGGAGCAATGATAGGAACCTGGGCCTAATAGACTAATACTAATAATAAGGGACTGGGCCTATTAGAGTATTAATAATAACAAGTGTATTAGCTGAGTATAAATAGAAGAGGGCCAGGAAGGGTTGAGGAGGTTTTAGACTTGTGTCTTGGGACTTTGGGAGATCGAGAACTTTCTCTCTTTCTTTGGGGGGCTTCGGCTCAGTTTGGGGGCTTCGGCCTTTGTACTTGTTACTGTTCATCATCTCCTTCAATAAAGATTTCTCTTGTTTCTTGATATTAGCTTCTGTAATCTCTGAATAGTTAGAGCTCTCTATCATTGGTATCAGAGAAAACGTTCGTTCCTGGAGACTGAGAATCTGAATCATGGAAACGATGGAGGAATTCGAGATGACACCACGGATGGAAGAGAGTTTTGATAATATAGACAGAATGATGAAGGAGATGCAGTCGAGCATGGCCGCATCGCAAGAAAGGATGAAGACGATGATGGCCGATATGCAGGCTAGTTTCGCGGATATGATAAACCAACTTACAGATCCTTCGAAGAGTCGATCGCATAAGTCGCACCACTTACATCATCGTTACACGCGAAAGTCAAGGAGTCCAAAAGAATCTGAAGAGCCGAAGCATCGCAGAATATATGGCGACCGAACCAGGAACAGTAGGCTTCATCCGCTATCGCAGGCAGATTCGCGAAATGTCTCTTCACAGATTTCTTCGCCTCGCTCGTCGCACAGTTTTTGGCATCGTTCTTCGCATAGCTCTTCATATGGTTCTTCTCATCGCTCTTCGCATCACCATTCGCAAAACTCCTCTCCGGACCTCAGTTCTTGTCCAAGAAAGTCACCAGTCAATTCTCATTGTTCGCTGTCTTCCTCTCCAATCGATTCTCTGAGTTCGCAGACAAATTCTTCTGAAACTATGGTTTTGACAAGAGCAGAAGACCCCAGTTCGCAATTGCTATCTGAGTCACCAGAGTCGCAGTGGGAGTTGGTTAATCAGCAGCAAACGAACACGGAAGATACACACACCGATGCCGAAGAGGAAAGCAATGAGGAATCTTCAGTTAATCTGGGACTTGAAGCTGGGACAATTATTCGTTCCCTCGCTTGTGATAACCCTTCCAGTTTGAATAACATAAGCAAAGACTGGAACTCTTTTAGAATAAATGAACTTCCTTCATCTGACAGGCTAGGTTGGAACAAAAGAAGTAGGGCTGATGTACTTGGTAAAAGAACTGATTGTGTATTCTCGCCCACAAAGTGTTGCTGGGTTTCTGTGTTGTTTTATACCAGCAAAGATGGTGCAATTTCGAGGATAATTTGGGTTTTTCCACTCTTTGTTTCAAGAAATCAGGTAAAAATGGATTCTCCTTTTGAGAAACAAGCAGTGGTAGAAAGACCTAGATGGAATATGCCTATGGGAGCTGTTTGGTGGAATGATGTTAGGTGTACTCAAAGCACAGCAGAGGATGGCATTGTATTGCTGAAAAGCATTATGAAAGTCAATCACAATTCTGAGGAGCAAATTAAAATGAAGGTTCAGGACATGAACACCAATTCTGCTACTGTTGGAAGTGTTATAGCTCAGGAAAGCATGAAAACATCTATGGATATGGAAAATCTGAAGTCTGCAGAAACATATGTGAGCTGGAAAGTTCAAGTACTGAAGCTACAAAGCCATCAACCAATCAAGTATTGGGAAGGAAGAGGCGCAAGAAAGAAGAGGAAGCGGAAGATCACAGCGGTTTCCTATCACCCACCTTGAGGGCAAGGTGGATGTTAGGGGGGGAGTAATGATAGGAACCTGGGCCTAATAGACTAATACTAATAATAAGGGACTGGGCCTATTAGAGTATTAATAATAACAAGTGTATTAGCTGAGTATAAATAGAAGAGGGCCAGGAAGGGTTGAGGAGGTTTTAGACTTGTGTCTTGGGACTTTGGGAGATCGAGAACTTTCTCTCTTTCTTTGGGGGGCTTCGGCTCAGTTTGGGGGCTTCGGCCTTTGTACTTGTTACTGTTCATCATCTCCTTCAATAAAGATTTCTCTTGTTTCTTGATATTAGCTTCTGTAATCTCTGAATAGTTAGAGCTCTCTATCAAGCAAGTAACCTTTTGCCTTAATTAGTAGACTAAGGACGATTGTGCAAAAATGTGTTTTCTTTCAAAAAGTTCAAAAGTTTATTCACTTCAATCAAATAACAATCTTGGTTATTAAAAGTTTATTCAATTCAACCAAACAGACTTGCATACCATTAGTTGATGACTTGATATAATTTGCTTTCAAAAGCTTCAATGTACTCATTTCGGCCAAATAACTCTCACCAAACAAAGTCTAGATTACCATCTCATTTGCATGCTCCTTCTTATTAGTTAATACGAGTATCTACTACATCAATACTTAATTGATATTATCAAAGGGAAAATTAAGTAATATGATATGCACCAATGAGATTCCAAAAGTAATAAGAGTTCTTTAAGTTTGTAAAAATAATATATTCTCGTCCAAAAGTTATTGATCATTCCTGAGTAAGTAAAGCAATATTTAATTCATAAAATTATGTTCTTATAAATAAAGCTCATTTACATAGTTTTCATTTTCTTCAGCCTTTTACGGAGACTATTTTTAAGGAAATGCCCGACAAAAAAACAAATCAGACTTCAAATTCAGTTTTATTATACCACATTTAATTTATGTAAAGAACACACTTGCACTACATAATTTTAGATACACATACTCTGTGCTTTTCTCCTGCCTGTTTTCCATTGCGCCAATAGAGGTTACTTCAAATCTCAAGCAGTAGTAGCTTGTTTGGCTTCAAGCATCTTCTCATATTCCTCAATAGATCTAAAAAGCTCAGAGAAGTTACCCTTACCAAATCCTCCACAACCACCCTTCTGATAGGTCTGCCCTTCCTCCTTTATCATGCACCCAATTCTCTGGATAATTTCTATAAACATTGTCGGCCTGCACCACAACAAAGAGAAAAAAACAATTGATCTTAAGTTGTAGACTTATACATGGGACTTTCAGAAGGAGTAGTCATTTTAACAACTCCCTCCATGTTTATGTGAGATAAAAGACATAAACTTTTCTTCTGTTCTACTCCTACACCAGTCACTCATCCCTTTCAATAAACTTGAAACAAAGGCATGCGATGGTACCATTAGATAGATTAAGAGCCTATTTGGTTGAGGGATTCAGCTTATTAGGAGAATAAAGAGAATAAGTAACTTTTGACCTGTTTATCTGATTTTTTTTCAACATATGGTTTTCCTTCTACAAAAATTAGCAGATTCAGTCATTTCAATTCAGCCAAATAATGCTTGCCAAATAGACTCATGTTGGTCTTTAAATATGAAGCATGCCTGTCTTAAATCCTACCCACATCATTTAATACTTCACACTCTTTAGTTCATTTAATGTCCATGAAAGATCAGGCAAATTGGATTCCCTCCAGATCTGAGCCAATTGGGACAATTTATATACTCCGTATTAATTAAATGAGTCAACACATAATCAATACGAATAGTTCATGTCTCCTCAAATCCAAATCCAATAGTACTTGCAGGAAACAATATGATGCAAGACTTTCGTCTTTATTTGTTTTTCTTAAAGGAAATTCATCATTGATCAATCAATCAATGATCACATTATTAATATGTTGACAACCAAATCGGGTAATGATATAATGATAATCAGAGTGCTATATGGTAAAATAAATAAATAATCAACATCACTGAGATTCATATACCTGTCTCCAACGGGTTTGGTAAAGATTTGAAGAAGAGTGCCCTGATCATCTCTATCAACTAAAATGCCAAGCTCTTCACACTCCTTAATCTGCTCATCATTCAGAATATCACCAACCCTGCCCTTTAAATTTTTGTAATATGTAGGTGGAGGAGAAGGCATGAACTCAAAACCCCCAACTCCGCTCCTTTTTCTCATTTCACGCATTGTTCTGAATATGTCCTCACTAGCCAGAGCCAGATGCTGCACCCCCGGTCCTTCATTGTACTCCAGGTACGTCTGGATTTGACTCTTCCTCTTTGTCCCGAAAACAGGTTCATTTAGAGGCATCAGAACGGTCTCTTCGTTGTTCGCTAGCACCACAGAGTTCAGGCCGCTATCCGCTGTCCCCACGTCTTCCGCCGTGAATTCCGCGAATTCGTGAAATCCTGTGAATGACTTGAGGTAGTCGACAACTGGGCCAAGCTCGTGGACGTTCCCGACGGCGTGGTCCAGCCTTCGGATTCCGTAATCGAGGTCCTGGTACGACGCCGTCCCGTCCATGGGCTCAAAGCCAGGCAGGAACGTGACGGTGGTGGGGTCCGCTAGATAGCTGATGAATCGGAGCACGACGTCACCGTATAGGTGGACTTCGGCGAAGACGACTTGGCCGTTAATCGTCACCGGTTCCGAGACGGGTTTCGCGCCGCGGGAGACGCTGTTGGAAAAGGCGGTCCGCACGTCCTCGACTACAAGGGCAACCGCGCGTACGCCGAGGCCATGCGCAGCGGTGAAGGAGCGGTGGGTGGATGCAGAGAAGGCGGGGATGGAGGCAGAGGAAGGTACGGACATGGAGGACGCGTACGGAGCAGTGAAGAGGAACTGAAGCTCACCGGAGACGGAACGGAGGAGATAGGAAGCGTGAGC